AAAACCTGAGTTTGGATGTCTGGTGTCCTGGCTGAGATTTGAACCAAGCATCTCCCTCCATAAAAATCTAGGGCATTTCCTCTAGACCAACCTGTTCAGTGTCTCAAGCAACTAAACTGTTAATCAAAAGTTTATAACAAAATTTTATACTACCTTTGTAAAATGCTGACAAAATTATTCTGAAAAGCTCTGCAATGACAATACACAATGCTCCTCAGTGGTAACTTCCAGCCAGCAATACATGCCACTTGTCTCACCACCTTCCACATGCTTAATAGTAGAGTGAATTTGCCGACTACACAACACGTTTTTTATTATCACTACATGTTTCGACCTCAAGAGGTCATCCTCAGGTGTACGAACACAGCTCTATAATTACATGCGGTCACATTCACTTTTCACTCATTCGACCCTCTATCTTATCCAGATTTACGCTCACTAATATATTGAGTTCTTTTATAAAACACAGGTTAAAATTATTATTCTAATTTAATTAATTTAACTAGTATAATTATTATTAAAAAAGAACTAGACACAGTTGTGAGCGTTAGTAAAATGAGACTGTAAACAACAAGTGAATGTGACCGCGTGTAATTATACAGCCGTGTTCGTACACCTGAGGATGACCTCCTGAGGTCGAAACATGTAGTGATAATAAAAAACGTGTTGTGTAGTTGGTAAATTCACTCTACTATTAATTAAACACACAACAGGATGCAAGAAACGATTAAAATTCCACATGCTTCCTGAAACTTTCCTTTGTTTCCCAAAACAATATTTCAATTAAAATGATGGTAAATTAATGGCAATTCATGTATCCAGCAGCAATCACGGGATGCAATAAAGTGGATAAAGAAACAGGAATAGAGAAATTCTTTAAGATATGGTACAATTGCTGGACTCGCTGTTTTCACTTGCAAGATGATTTTAAAGAGGGCATGACAGAACAGTGTAATATGGAACTAATAACAAGTGCCTAATAGAGTCCAGAAAGTTTTTGGTAGCACCTCACATAACTGAAGCTACCCATATGTACAGCATGCCGGCATCCCTTAACAACAAAATTGGCGTCTTCAAGAGAAAACCTTAAACAAACCAGATCTGTTAGATCAACGCAACCAATCCCGAATGATTACATGCTATATCAAATACCTCTTAAAGAATTCTAGAACAGTCCACTAGACACCAGATAAGCATGGCATAATAATTTCTTGACACTGTAACTAATTTTACAGTTGTTGGTCAGTAGTTACACTTTCCTATGAATAAACACTAACAAATATTTACAAACTATCATATTTTGACATATGAAACTATTTATGATAAGTGAGAAATAAATATGAGACAAGAGTTTCAAAAAATGTCGTTTCAAAAATATCACTGTTCTGCTCCTGTCCTTTCTAAGTTAACCAGTTACATGACATGGTAACTAAAGCTGAATAAATTTTCTACAGCTACGAGTATGTAAAGGCAGGGCAGTCAACCTGCCCACTACAAGGCCTGACTGTTAATTTTTTATATATTTCTATGCATTTAAATCTTCATTATTTAAATATTAGTGTAAATAAAACTCCATGGCTTTAGTCCGAAAGCAAACTATACAGACTGAGTGACTGCCACTTCACGGCGAAGTTAGTGCCAACTTTGGCTGATAGAGGGTGTCACGTGGTCAGCACAACAAATCCCCACAGCTGTTAATTTCGGTTTTCCAGACCGGAACCACTACTTTTCCATTCGAGTACCTCCTCAATTATCCTCAAGAAGCTGAGCGGGCCTTGTTCCATACCCACTGTTTCTCAGAAAATATGGTAGCGCCAGGAATCGACTCTATGATCTCTGGATCTATAGCCAGGAACTCTGACCAACAGACCACACAGGCAGAAATGTTAGTATAAACTTTATTAAAAGGAATTACATGGGAAACAGACATTACTGTATTTTGAAAATTAAGCTTTGTAACAAATAGTTAGAAACTGCTGATTTTTATTAGTTCTTTGTATCTGACTGCCAGACAGGCGACAATCAGAACTGCTTTCGTAGGCTCGGGGAAGGGGAGATCCAGAATTTGGAATTTTTATGGACTGAAGATCATCTCCAGCTACTCCTACAGTTCCTATCACAGAACAGTGCATTCACAAGTCATAAACAAAAAATTTTTGCAGGAATGTGTAACTATTTTGAGATCAGAAAAGCTGAAGAGTTACAGTGACATACCAATGATGTGCTGGAAATGCAGCAACAATACGAAGAATCTATTATTAGTGTTAGACTGTGCACCTTCATCTCCCACATCTGTCAACGTTGCCTGTACATTCAAACGCTGAATTAATTTGTGAAGCAGGCTAGCGGATATTCAGACCAATACAAGCACCAAAGCTGAACCAACTGTGCTGATGGTGACTGTTGGTTTATAAGCAAAATGGCACACTGAAAAGTTCATAGTCTATACAATATTTTTATAAATTAATAATGGATTCACAGAATTCTACCATGTTGCATCTTCGCAATGCCTTCTAATATACAGAGAAATGCAATTAGATTCAATGACAATATGAATTTCTGTTTCAATTTTCTAAGGTCATAAACCTTACAAAACTTTTCTTTCAAGAACTCTCCATGATACAGCCTATGAAGATTCCATATTTCTTACATTATTAATACATATGAGATAAACTTTATAGTGTAGGATTCTGCGAATGAAATATGACTAGTAATATAAATAAATGTGAAGTTACTGTTTGAGCCGAGAAGGAAGATTAAGATTATGTTAATGAATGGAAGTGGTTCCATCTGCTCCATACCAAGTAACAGCATTCATGATCAAGGATCTGTGGTATGCCTGGAAGAAAGAGACATAGAGAGCCAAGAGTGATTAAAAGTGGCTAAGAAAACAATTCAAGATAAGCGAAAAAGATGTGAAAATGCAGAACACAGGCGAGTACAAGTGAAGTGCATAATATGAATGTGGACAGAAAGGTAGTTTAGTTTGCTGTAAAAATGATTACATCTTGCCAGAAATATCGGTCAAGAAACAGATCAAGACATATTTTTTAAGTATATATATTTGACTACCAACAAGCAAACAATCACTTTGCATTATTTGTAGGTATGGCTTATTCTCAAATGATAAAGGATACTGTATTGGTTATCGTGTTCTGAAGCAGTTATTTATACTTTGCCACTTGATTTTGATGTTAAATTGTCCTATTCCACTAAACAGTCTTCTTGAACTCATTTCATCACTGCCAGCACAAGACTTACGGCTTGCTTTTTGTCATATGGTTCCGGCATACACGAACACTGCACACTGGTTCTAAGCGCAGACTCTCTTCAGGCTGGTGACCATTGTTTTTACGTATATAATCTTTCTAGGATGGTCCTGAACCTTCGCAGGTGGACTAGGCGCTTCACGCTGTTAGAAGAGCAGGGAAGAGGGAGGGAGGTCTGGAACCTTGGCAAGATGTACATGCATATGCTGGCAAAGTGATCCACCACCCTCCACCACTTATTCTGTTCGAAATCATTTTCATTGTGAAGAAAGAGGCAATAAAACCAGGTATGTCTTAAATTGTTAATATGAAACGAGAACTATGTACAATTTTAATCACACAACAGAGATTACAGAACATAAAATGAAGCAACATAAAACAGAAACACACAAGAATATTCTTCTTCTTCAGGAAGAGTTACACACATAAAAGAAAGAAAACTGACTTCTTGACAAGAAACAATTCCTTGAAATTTCAGACTTTGTTTAGGGGACATGTTATAAGTTACAAGTTAAACTCAGTCACCTAACCATATCTGTACCTCAAGAAGGTGGAACCAACCATGACCAGCGCCTTTACTTCCATAACAAACAATGTGCTAGTAAATCACGAACCGGTATGTTGTGCCATTAGAAACTTTAGGCAAATAAAATCAGGTCAAACTCCCAATCTAGTCTGTGGAGGATCAAAATGGGGTAAAGACCCATGACAAAACAGGATACTGTAAAATCTGCCAGAAAGATTCCCTTGTGATGTACATTTTGCTTCAAAAAATCTTATAGTATATAAAACAACAACTGGGAAATACTACATTAATCATATGACATGGAACCCAAATGTGCCTCTACTTTGTCTTTCAGCTATAAAAAATCAGATATATAATTTTCTCTGCAATTCTGTATAAACGGCCAAAAATTATTTTAACTAGAGTGAAACTGTCAGATTTCTTTATCACTTGCAACATTTTCTTGATGACAAAATGAAATGGGACTATTACAAATTGTAACCTTTTAGAAAACATTCTTATTCTGTAGCAGAAGGCCGCGCCATAGCTCAAGCGGTTAGTCACTGGCTGCCCACCGCGGTGGCCCGGGTTCGAGACCAGGTCTGGTCAAATGGGATTTGTGGTGGACAAAGTGGCGTTGGGAGAGGTTTTCTCCGAGTACTTCGGTTTCCCCCGCCAATCTTCATTCCACCAATTGCTCCACAATCACCCTCACCTATCATCTGGGGCTGGTACAAAACGCCAGAAGTGGCCGCAGTACAAGGGACTTAGTCCCAACCCACTAGCAATAAAAAAAAATATTCTGTAGCAGAAGTCAACAGAAATGCATTAAACATTTCATCTGTTGCAAGATGAAGATGTCCTTCTGCTTAATTAAACACTACGCCATAAAGATGTGTAGTGGAAGTGGAGGTATACTCCATGCATTCTTAAAATTCATACTACACAGATGAGCGGTCAGTTTCAAGCTCCAGCTTGAAACCTCGGGAAAGATCCTGGTTCTCACTGGACAGGAGACTGACTTAGGCTAGTGCAAGTCTGGATCCTGTGGACACCATAAAAATCTCTGCTCCCATCAGGAATAAATTGTTCAACCTACATGCAGTCACTATACTGACTCAGCTATCCTGGCTCCCTCCTGTTTAAAGGAGGAATATGAAAAACAGAAAGAGATTAAGAAAATAATTTTAGAAATCGTAATGAAAATTAATGGAAACCTAACTTACCTGAGTGATGATATGAGCATGTTGGTTGCACGGATCAACTGAGTACCATACCCAGGCTTTTTCTCATTAACAAACACAATTTGTGGGTTATAGTTAATTGGGAGTGGAACTCTGTCACTTAGATACTTGTCAAACCAAAGTTCAGAAATATAACTTGTGTGTTTGTTCTTCTCGTCCCAGTCCTTTAGTTGTTTCTGAAGAGAGAATCCCTCCCCTTTCTTGAACTCAGAGACAATAGCTTCAGTCTTAGCATAGTCTTGTGCTGACAGCAATGGCCGCTGAGCTGCTAGATAACGGTCACAAGTTTTCTGCAGTTCTGGAATTGGAAGTCTTGGCAGAGAAGCTTGGAAATGTAATGTAGGTACTTTACTCCTTTGAAGATACTGGTAATCATCGTCCTTGTTTGACCTATTAAAACAAAAATTTTCAAACTGCAAAATTTACTTCTTTTATGTCCATGTTCAGGGTTCACATGTGAAGGTGGGGCAGGTGTATACACAGGTTTGTGTTAAAAAAAAAAAGAGTTGGAAGACTGCAGGATGGGGCCCATCAGAACCAATGCAGTCAACTATGAAGGAACCAGCCCTTTTAAGGGCCACAGACCTCACAAAAAGAACACTGGCAATTGATGTTTCCCAATTGGTCACCCATCCGAGTGCTCAATAGGTGTAATGTCACTGACCCTTTCTTGCTGTGGATGAAGTGACATGAAGATCATTGTTGGTCAAGGATAGGTTTTCCTTGGGGGCTGAATGCAAAAGCATGAAACAGCATGAAAAATGGTGCATCTTAGAAGCAAAATGGGCCAAGAAAAAACTGATGGGTGATTTGGTTACATAATTTGGTTACACCTCATACAGGTGTAACTGTTCCTCAATCTCAATTCTCAATTTGTGGTAAGAATATGATCATGATGTCCTCTCTGCTATTTCAGTGTATGAATGATCCTAGAGACAAGGCTTAACTGCTAGCCACCATCTCTGAAACATCTGGGATAATTTCTGTGGCTTCTGGGATAATTCTGCTGTGTACTAAGTAAGCTTGGCTAGCAGCCTCCGTAGTCTAGAGGTAACATTCCCACCTCATGACTCGTGGTACGCTGGTTCAAACCCGGCGGAGGTCGTGGAATTTTTAAGGGCGGAAAAATTCAGGGAACAAGTCTTCCGGGAGGGACTTAAGCCGTGGGTCATGTGTCATAGCTTTACGGCATGTAAAAGAACCTCATATCTCCAAAGGAGGTCACTGAGCCAAATTCAAGGACATTTACCACCCAACACTAGTCTCTAACGCCTCTGATAGATGGGGGAAGCATTATAGATACCGCTAAGCCAGCAGAGGCCGAACTCGCTGGCTCGGTCGGGACTGATGGTACGCACCAGTATGGGTAGGGTATAGAGACTGGTAGAATATCATAGAGGGAAGCACAATGGACCAATACTGGTCTAAGTGCATGGGGAAACCCACCCTCTCAAATAACTTACTAACTAACTAAGTAAGCAAGCTTGGCTAATGCCTTGGTATCTTCAAAGTATATTCACTATGCCTCGCTGACTGAATTCCCTGCCATCATTGATCATTCCATAAGTTGTAGAATAAAATCCATTTTGAAAAGCTAATAACTGTTCAGCTTGTTAAGATATTCCCTGCCTTTTATGGAAGGTGAAGGTTTACTCGTATTATTATTATGAAAGGTTAATTAATTCTGTCCAGTGTGACTGACAAAGTTCTTTCCTTTTTAATCTTTTATCCTTTACATGTTTCGGTCCTATGGACCATCTTCTGAAGGATATCAATACATTTAGAAACCGCTGCTACAATATGTTTTGTGAATATCAATATATATATATATATATACACACACACACACACAATGATATCATATTACAATGAGTATAGATCTAATGTTTTTAAAAACTACAGCGGCTTGTACTAATACGTTAAAAATTTATAAATTACAATTAGTATGATTATAAGATTCTTAAACCAAATTGGTTCATGTTCTTTTTATTTTATCTCTTTGCAGGAAGCCGAGCGTCTAATGCCTAGTGGTTCTGTTGTTTGGAGAATAGGATTCTGCAAATATTTTATGGGTATACTGTAGCATTTCTGTAATCCCTATTTTGATTTTATGCGAGCTCTTATTATGTCGTCCTACCTTCCGAAAAAACTTCATCAGTCACACTGGAGGGAATTAACCTCTTATAATATTGTTAGTGTGACGGACCAGGATGAAACAAATCAAAGTTTAGTACTATTGTCAAAAGAGCCTGGCACTGGTCCACTTCATGTGCCACAACACTTACTCCATATACTCATTGATTGATTTCACTATTATCCTTTCATCTATGCCTAGTCTTCACAAGTTGTCTCTTTGCTTCAGGTTTTTCTAACAGCAATTTTGTATGCATTTCTTAAGTTCCCCACGAGTGCTACAGGCTCTGTTCATCTCATCCTCCCTGATCTGGGCACCCTAACAGTATTCGGTGAAAAGTATTATGAAGCTCCTTGTTATTAAGTTTTCTCCACCCTCCTCTTGCATCCTCTTTCCAAGGTTTAAATGTTCTACTCTGCACCACTACCCCAAAAACCACATTCACACCAATTAAACTTCTGAAGACAAAGAGATTCTGAAATGAACTGTAGCAATCACTCCCAAATTTTAATCATCTCTTTATTTCCTCATCAACATAGTAATTTCCATTTACCTATCTTTATGATATGATTTCTCCTGCACTCTGGTGGTAAAAAAAACAAGTAAAGGTATCCTTGTAACAGGCCATGGAGGCCTATAGAATTGCGAGATGTCGAGGTTCCCACATTTTCTAGACAACTGGCTCACAGATGGCGGTAGGGTTGTCAGCCTCACACACCAGCCGTTACCCCCAAGAATATTTCTGGTACTCATTTCTGTTAGAGGCTCAGTCAATCCCAGGGCCATAGTGCAGCTGGTAGGTTTAGGTCAATTGAAAAAATCCACTTCATTGGGGATTCGATCCCGCAATCTTCTGGCTTGTAGCGTAGTGTCTTAACCAACTACACTATGGCGTACCCCACATATCATCATCATCATCATCATCAGTAATCTGTCAAGACGACAGGTCCACAGTCTCTTTCAAAACAATTCCTCCACTTAATGCGATCTAGAGCTTTCTCCTTCAAATGACAGTATCCTCTTCTGTCCCCAAGGTCATCCAGCATCTTCTTACGTCTTCTTCCTCGTCTTCTTGTCACTTCTATCCGCCCATCTATCTTTCCTTCGATAGCTTCTTTTAGAAGGCAGTTTCTGCGTAAAACATGACCAATCCAATTAGCCTTCCGTTTTCTTATTTCATGTAGGATATTCCTCTGCTCACTGACTCTAATTAACACTTCTTCATTTCTCACATAATCGGNAATGGGCACAATATCTTTAGTATATGCACTGGCTCTTGAGTTAACATGATTACCTGCTCCTCTTCTGACACACCACAACTGAGGGTTGCACATGTTTCAACTGCAAAGAAACAGAACACCATATTACAAAGTATTATCAATGTTCAACTTCAATATTAATAAATAAATTATATACAATTTGTAAACTTTACACAGCAATGAGAGAGGGCTTAAATCAACAAGGCTCAAAGAGCCAGAATATGAAAAATATATAAATGAAAAGTAAGTGCACATTTGGTTGGAAAACATCAAAGAAAAGACCACTTGGGAGAACAAGGGCAAAATGTATGAAAAATATTAAAGTATATGATTATGTGTATCACTGCTTAACCCTTACACATAATACGGGATATTATGTAGGCATCATATAATGACGTCAATTGCTTTCTCCATGAAATGACAGAATAATTCTTGCTGGAAAACTCAAGCTTCTGCAAGCTACTTGAGTAGTGTGATGGGCATAAATATTCACTTTTGGGAATCATGTCTTTCAGGATACCTTGTGGCAGTGCTGTCCAACGTTCTTATGTACTTGGGCACAATTCACTGATATCTATGAAGGTGCGGGCGCCACCGCACTACTGCTACTGCTGCTGCTACTGCTACTATTTCTACTACTTCTTAAATAACAATAAAAACAACAATAATAATAAAAAAATTAGAAATTTAATACTGACTAAATCTTTTGTTAATATAATTAATTTACTTACAATCTTATATAATTAGTGTGAACTTTGACACTGCAGGTTAGCTGCAAGTTGTCGAAAATCTGGTGTGTCGCTGGAACAGGCAGCTCTTAGTGCATCATCTAAGTGTGAGTCTGGTAGGCAGGATTGGTACTTAACTTTTATGATGCTCACAGATGAAAATGAGATTACGCACAGATATGTCATCATGTTCTTGATAATATTGGCCAGGAGATGATTTCAGAAAATCCCTGACCTCATCCAGAAGACAGCAAAATCGTTCCAGTGTTTCCCCCCTACTAAGCCACCTTATGTCTGCATGGAAAATTATGTCACCATGCTCAGTGTCCGACACTTTCAAAAGATTTCTGAACAATCGATGACGAGTAGAAGACGATCTGATATAATTTACCACANTATTTCTACTACTTCTTAAATAACAATAAAAACAACAATAATAATAAAAAAATTAGAAATTTAATACTGACTAAATCTTTTGTTAATATAATTAATTTACTTACAATCTTATATAATTAGTGTGAACTTTGACACTGCAGGTTAGCTGCAAGTTGTCGAAAATCTGGTGTGTAGCTGGAACAGGCAGCTCTTAGTGCATCATCTAAGTGTGAGTCTGGTAGGCAGGATTGGTACTTAACTTTTATGATGCTCACAGATGAAAATGAGATTACGCACAGATATGTCATCATGTTCTTGATAATATTGGCCAGGAGATGATTTCAGAAAATCCCTGACCTCATCCAGAAGACAGCAAAATCGTTCCAGTGTTTCCCCCCTACTAAGCCACCTTATGTCTGCATGGAAAATTATGTCACCATGCTCAGTGTCCGACACTTTCAAAAGATTTCTGAACAATCGATGACGAGTAGAAGACGATCTGATATAATTTACCACATGAGTTACTACATTCATAACATGGTCGAACTTCAAAACCGTTACACATAAAGCTTCCTGGTGGATAATGCAGTGATAAGAAAGAACATTGGGAAATGATTCATCCTTAGCACAAAGAGCAAGAAACCCACTGTTCCTACCGGTAATTGAAGGAGCCCCATCTGTAGTTATAGCAACAAGTTTTGAAAGTGGTAAGTTACATTCTTTCACAAATTTAAGGAACACATTAAATATGTCTTCTCCCCTAGTACGTTCATGAAGTGGCAACAGTTTAACGAACTCTTCCTTTACCGTAAAATCGCCAAAAACCATTCTAACAAATACACATAATTGTGCAGCATCCAATATATCAGTGCTTTCATCAAGATGGACTGAAAAATATTCACATGATTGCAAATCCTGATGTATTTGAGATTCCAGATTATCAGAAATCTGTTCAACTCCTCTAGCAAAAGTTTGGTGAGACAACTGAAGTCCTTTGATGGAAGACATAAGTGAGATTTATCTTTGTGACCATCGAACAGAGACTCGCCGGCACTGATCATAGCTTCTTTAACTGTTTCCCCATCACTGAAAGGTTTTTTTTTCCTTTTAGCTAACACATGACAGATTTTATAAGAAGCTATTGTTATGTTGCTACTTTGCAGATAGGCTTTGTAAATACACATTGTTGCAAGGTTAATTTAGATTTTAGGTCTTTCACCTTTTGTTTTCTCGGTTCAGATTTATACAGGAAATTCATTGTTGAAGTTTTTAGGGTTAGTCAAAAAATGTCGCTCTACATTACTCTTTAGGAACAGACACGCTACTATTACACAATAAACACAGAGGCTTTCCTCTGTATTCAGTAAAACAATACTGCTCCTCCCATTCACTGTTACAACTATAACTTCTTTGTCTCTTAGCCATATCAAGAATAGCTATATAAAACAGTACTGCTTATTTGCTCAATAATTTGAAGCACAATAACTAAAATGCACTGATAACTGTGTAACTTGTCACAACACAAGACACATAACAACTGAACTATGGTCATCACAAACTCGCAAGTAATACTGAATGTTTGGCTGAAGAAAGTGAACTGGGAAATATAGCTACTGCCAATTTTCATTGGTGTACGACCCCCTAATAAATTCTTATTGCTTGCAGCATCGCTTTGTTGGGATTAAAGTGATTTTGATCATATTGCCGATGAGTTTAAAAATTGGGGAACTTACGGTAAGCTGGGCCCCATAGTCATGTTCGGGTCGGTGAATATGTTTGCCCTGCTTATCACAGAAAATTTTATGATACCCTGACCATAAATCCGAAATCCATGAAAGCACATTCAGTGGGGACTTGCAACTATGTGGGGGGTAAAAATACTGCTAGGGAAAATTACATGATCTTGAGAGGATGACGGTTTCTCTAGTGAAAAAAGAATTAAGTCTGGTGTTGTTAGCAAAGGAGAAAAAAATAGGTGTAAATTTTCAAGGAGTGTCTAATACTGTACCATGTTTCAAGGAAATTTTGTGAAAATATTTAACAGTACTCAGACATTCAAAAATGTCTCGTCTTACAATTTGAATTAATATTAAAAATCGGCTCAATTATATGTGCTTATGGAGGGTGCCAGAAAAATATATCATGGGCGCCGCGTTGGACAGGGCTGCCTTGTGGTGTGTGTGTGTGTACGCATGCACGCAATCGCACTCATACACACAACATGTGACAAGGGCCTATATTTGGTAAAAAGTTCTGACACAAGAGTTGATTTAAGCTTCATCAGTTTTATCAGGATAATCAAAGCAGATGAGATGGTCAAGTTTCTAGCACACATGGGACAGACATGAAATCTGTACAAAATATTTGGTGGAGGGTCTAAAAGATCCTAAAGAAATAACATGGTGAAATGTTGGCTGGATTCATCTGGCTCAGAATAGGAACTTGTGGTGGGCTCTTATGAAGAACAACAAAACGATAAATAGTGTACAAGCAGAAACAGTAGCAACAACAATGATAGTAATAAAAATCTATATAACATACATTCATTACTCACGTTTCCTTGGTTGAAAAATATCTTACAGGATAACACTCTCATGTTTCATATGAAGATCAGCACCAACACAGTTCTGAAATTAACGAAAACTGCCATTAATGCAACCTCACAGTGTGAGGCATAGATATATTCATTGGTAACTAAAGTGAGAATAAGAATTTTTAATGTTGCAACAATTACTACACAAATTTTATTATACCCCTTCCCAATGGGACTTCAGACTGTATATGACTAATCTTTCAGATCTTTTCCACAGGGGTAAAGCAGCAGGCATATGAAGCTGACCACTCACCTCTATCTGAGGTCAAGAAAGGTGGAGCTATACCTCAACTCCCCCCACGTCTTCATAACATTGTGCCCAAGTATTTAAGCACAGGGACTTTCCCCCATTTTACACAAAAACAGAGATGTTCTGACACTAACTTATGAAGCACAATAGATCACTGCAGGTCACGGTGCAAGGGCCAAGAAGGCCCACCCCTTATAAATTCATTATACATACAGCTTTTCAAGGAACAGGATGCAGTAAAGAGTTAGTCAAATGTATTTTTCAGTCCCATTAAATTGCTACCAGTTCCAGAAGCAGGCAGACATGTATGAACAGTAATACTTTGTAAAACACTGGAGTTATGGTATTGAAAATAAAAGAGAAAAAAAGAAGGGCCAAACTTGCATTCAGTTAACTTATTGTCTTATGTAAACCTTTTTGCAAAAAACAAATAATATGTAACACATAACTTATTACATACAGGTGTATAAACTACTTACTGATATAATTTCTGCCACTTTGTACCTTCCTCTGTTTTTCAGAGAAGAAAAGTATTTTTTTCTGGAAATATTTTCCATGTCATCACATTAACAAAACATACCTGCATCACTGTCTGCACACAGAAAAAAATGCTTGGAATAACTTTACAGGATTTCTTTACCTCCCAGCATTTATAAATGCAAAGTGCATGGGAAATGGACGGGGAGGGGGAGCCACACACCGCCATCCCAGATTATAGAAATAAAATTGGAAGGGAATGTAACAAATATTCATACTCAAAACTTGAAATATACTTTCTAACATTCCTATATCCTGAATATAAACGTTAGTTGGTACGCATATTCCTGGCTGTCTTCTTGTAAAACTGGTTTTCCTTTCGTAGAAAAATCCTGGTGGCATCTGTAGCACCGTGTTTTGACTCCACATTTCTTAAAGAAATTTACCTGGTTCATAGCAAAAACCGTAAAACAGTAATGGACGTGTGAATACAGAGTACCTGTGAAATTAAACTGTAATTCGTCCACTGCATGTCAAGGTATGGAGACACACTGATCGGTCTATTATTGCTCATTCCGTGAACACCATGATACTACAACGACTACAACTGTGACATTCGCTAAGTTTCCTAATTCCATACGTACTGTACTTCTAAAATAGTTCCAAGGGTGCCAAATAATTTATTTCTGATACTTTATTTTTCTGCACAGGTGGTGATTCGGGTACAATTTCTACTCTGCGGACTGCTGACATTTGCAAGTCATTGATATAATGAACTAACACAAACCGGGTGTCTAACCTGATTTCACGCAATTCCATAAGCAATATGCCACAGACTACGTTATCACACAAACATGCCTTAACTTCTAATTTAAGCAGAGCAAAAGTAAAATTGTACGCACTAAATCTAAGGCAATACCTTCTCCTTATCGCCCACACTTCCATAAGTATACTGCCAAGTAGTCTGTAAACCCAACCAGGAAGGTTGAGGTGGTGGAACTGGTGTCGGGTTCAAGGTAACCAAGGTTGTACGCATACGCAATACCCCCAAGAGGTGATTACGGAAGCAATGGAAGCAAATGACCGCCGAAGCTGGGAAAAGACGTCAAACAGAAATCGTATTAAATTCAAAATCCTCGTTTATTCCAACTAAATGCAACTAACACACTCACGAAAAACATTTTTTTACATGCAGCACGATGTCCTTTTGAAAGTTTGATACATCTAGATGTAAATAATCATTACATATCTTGTGTTTACTGGTTTAGAATCTACTGTATTTTGTTAATTTTATAATTTATATTATGTGACATGTCCTATATCAATGTAATCTGATCTACAGGATGAATAAACACGAATGAATGAATGAATGAATGAATTAACAGACATATACATAGTACATCAATGAATCGGGCGATTTGGCAGCGGTGTTCTTCCCAGGATTGTTTGGAGTGGGGAGGATGCCACTACTGCCACCAAGCAGGTTACTTCAAAACAAAACGTTGTACTTGCAATGGAGCCGTGGACAGGGGAACAACGTGCTTTTGCTGTGAGAGCATTCTACAAAAATGGTGACAGTTTCGTGGTCGCTCAGCGTGAATTTCGAAGGAAGTTTGAGATTCATCGCAATCGTGCTGTACCATCTGCCCATGCCATCAAAACCTGGGTTCAAAATTTTGAGACTACTGGTTCCACACTGAAAAAGAAAGGTGGTAGCGTAAAAACAGCACGTACACCCGAGAATGTAGCGGCAGTGAGAGAAGCCATTGAACGAAGTCCACGCCGGTCTGTTCGTAGCCACGCTACATCACTCGGGCTGTCCGAAGCTAGCGTTCGACGGATTTTGCAGAAAGATCTCCCAAGTTTTCAAAGCTCCAGCACCCTACACAGTTCAGGAATTGAAAATCGAATTCGGGAAGAAGTTCAACGAATTCCCGTAGAGATGCCGAAAGAGTAATGAACGACTTTAGGAAGAGACTTACCGAGTGCTTACAGCTGAATGGTGGTCATCTGACGGATATTATTTTTGGGAAATAGACTTCTGTTTTCAGTGACTTAATTGAGAAAACCAAATGCTTTTATGTTTACACTGTATTCATATATGTTAAAACTGAAACGCTTTGAAGTAGGCTGCTGGGTGGAAGTAGTGGCATCCACCCCACTCCAATCCAGGAAAAAACACCGCAGCCGAATCGCCCGATTCATTGACGCAGGATCTTAACGATATTAACCATGTTGAATGTTTCATTGTATCCCATTGGTAGGGTATAATAGCACAGATATTGTAGTTCAGTGATACCCACTTTTATAGAACATTAATTTTCAAATTCAGGTTTTATAAGATTTAAGCAGGACTTCAGACTTATAAATCTCAAAAGCTGTTTCAATACTGAAAATGTGAGTTCAACAATGTTGATACATTATTCAAGAGCCACAAAATTCCACTGTTTGGAATCTGAATGCTATTTCATTCAAGTAATTTTTTATCACTATGACAGTAGAAGAACCTGAGATAACTAAACATGTAACAAAATGTGATATGTTAGTTTAATGCTGTTTTTTCATTATTTTTTGTAGTTTCAATGTGCCCAAGCTGAACCCTATCTGTAGGTTAATGTCTGTAACCTAAAAATCAGTACTCTGATAAAGCATAACTCACCTGGATTTTAGAGCAGTGCCATAAGCTTAAAAGTCACCAGTTTCCAACACTTGTAGATTTTAAACAATGTGGGGAATTGCAAAACTCTCAGGGACATAAAAATTGATATGACATGCCCAAGAAAACAGGTGACATACAAAATCACAAAGAAACAACAGAAGCAACATTTAATGATAGATTAAGTATTTCAACTGTCTTGTACGAACGTACCATCTCCTCACCACTGACATACAGTAAATAAGAATTCTGGTTTCACTGAGCCCTATGTAAACCTACTAATGAGGAACACAGTATTGCAGAGACATGGAATGTGAGACTTGGATTGTAAATACATGCAGCATTTACTGGGTAGTACAGTGTGATCATCTTTGACCTTTCTGAAAGACATTGAGTCCCTTAGGTGAAGGATTCAGATGTGCCTTTTGCAATGAGATTCAGATTTCTAGTGGAACCAGCAGAATTATAACCTAACACATTACAAATAAACTTACCTAGATTGCAGCAGATGCCGAAAAATGCTCTCTGTTATGCAAGTATTCCTGGTATCTCTGTAAAAGTTTTCATTCATGCTTTCAAGTTATTTTCTGGAAACAGACTAAACTTGAAACTGGAAAATCTCCTGTGTGAGGTTGACTGATGGATTTTTGGGAATATTTAAACCTAGCATTGATTTCATTCAATTTCTCTTCTGTGAGCACTCATTGTTTAAATTTGGCTTCTTTTATTATAAGTGATGGTATGTGCTCAGTCTGAACATTCTCCTGACAATGCAGACCATTTCCAGCATACACTGATATCTGGGTATGTTTGTCAGCCCTGATAGCAAGCAGTCTTGAGTCATCATGCTAAGCTTCACTGAAAGACTGACTCATCCACATGAACAAGTACATGTACTAAAGAGAATATTCACGTCCTATGGACTTGTGTTATAAGAAGTAAATACTATATTGTCGTCTTCATCATCATCAAATAAAGCAAATTGTTACTGTTCTTATTAGACTGAAGCTTTCTACACTCCAGTCTGGGACTGATTACTGTTTGACAGTTACGGTCTTGTTTTTGTAGGGCTCGCTCTCTGACGAGGACGGGTCTGCCTTTTGTATATGCTGTTGACCCTTGCCAGCACAGTCTTTCTCGGGTCTGAGTCCCTTGGGACCCATGACCATATTTTACTGTTTCAGATTTGAGACTTCCCTTTTCGTCACCTCCTACAACTCGCAGGGTCACGGTGGAGGGGTTCGTCCCTGCCTCCATGCAGGTTTCTCCAAATGACTAACTTTTCCTTTTGGTCGTCACTATATAGCCTCAGCATGGACCACACAGAAAACACCACTTCAAACAGCTCCGCTATTGATACATGTTTATTTGTTGCTGCAGAAACATGGGTACTGAGCCGCTGTCTAGCAATGGCTGCCTGTTCTGTTATACTGTTCTGGCTTTCAGCCATCAAGTCATAGTATTTAAGGTGTCATATTCATAACCTTAATGTTATTTATATTATGTAGTTTTTAGTATTATGACCACTGTGTATTTCCTCTTCTTTTTTGTTCGTGTCTGTTTATATTTTCTGAATCAGTGTATTTTTTCTTTCTTCAGTGCTTTCCTTTAATTTGCCTTTACCTTTTACCAGGTAATTGTGCTTTAATAAATGTAGTGAATTATTACTGTTGAGGCATTTATAAGGAACATCTCTGATAGTCTCATTACCTAGCTTTCAATTTTTGATGCTGTTGATATGGAAGCCCTAGACATGGATGGGAGAATAATATTAAAATGCATCTAAAAGAAATAAAGATCTGAGGTGTGGACTGGATTAATCTCTCTGAGGATAGAGACTAGTGGCTGGCTCTTGTGAACACAGTAATTAACATTTTGGTTACACAGAATGATGGAAATTTCTTGACTGGCTGAACAACTACTGGCTTCTCAAGATGATCTCATCTCCACGAAGTTAGTTCGTAGTATCAGAGTTCCAGTCAGAAACATTAGAGTACTTAATACCTTTTTTATTTCATTTTCACATAATAGATGTCCTATGCGCCGTGTCTGAGCCACAATTGAAGTCTGTAAAAATGTCAATATGTTTGGCAGTCATTTCATGAACATTGATCATTTGGTCAGTTCAGTTCAATTCCTGATGAGGTCATTGGATTTTTCAATTGAGTAAATCCTTCCAGCTGCACAAGGGTCCTGGTGTCAACTCAGCCTCTTATCAGGAACAAGTGCCAGGAATCTTCCTGAGGGTAAAGGGCAGCTGGCACATAAGGCTGTCTAAAAAATTCGGGAACCTCGATATCTCACAATCCTATGGGCCTCCAGAGCCTGTTACAGGGATAGTTTTATCTTCTTTTTACTGTTACAAATTTACACTTATCTTGTATATGCTAAGCACTACAGCATCTTATGTATGTATGTGTGTGTGTCCCACATGTGTATTGTTTTCTTTTACTCTTGTTTGTCTGTGCTATTTAATTGAATCCTGCAGCTGTTGATTTAACATGTAAAAATGAAGTATAGACTTTTTTCTTCCTTATCATAATCAAGAAGTTACAACAAGAAACAAAAGATTAAGTTGTAATACGCAAATTGTGGATAAACACTTTGACAGTAAATATGTCTGTAACAAATGTACACTTTACATTTATTTTTCTTCATCTAATATATCCATGTTTCAATTATCATCATCATTATTCTTAAGACTGAAACTGTAAGCATGAATGTGGGATTGGTATGAATAATTAACATCTCACCAATGTCAAAGATATATTGGTTTTCTTACAGAATATGTTCACAGATGTTGGTACTTTAGGACATGATTTCATATGACTTAGGTATCTAAACATAATGATAGGCTAAAAACTTTGAAACAGTACTCCAAACTTCAAGCCTTTGCCACCCCCACCCCATCCCTCCAAATTTTCAATGAACTAATGAACATTTGTTTTAACATTTTAAATTTCTGTTCTATGTATGAAGGATGTGGTAATATTAATAAAATTAAATTTTATTTCACTATATGAACCACTACATCAAGATACTCATTTCCAGTTTCCTATTTATTTATTAAGCTATTTCTCTGATTGCCTATTTTTCTATGCTAAAGTCTGATGATCAGTCCAATGCCAGAAAGCATCGCTTGAGCTGCTGTAGATAGTCATAGTCTCTGTAATATTTGTGTTATTGATCATCCACCTGAGGATGGTTTTGTGGATACAAAATATTTAGTGGAGCCATACTAACAAAATAAGTTATTAATATCATATTTTTCTGTGTGATTGATATACACCTTGAAGCTCAACTTTTCATTGAACTACAATCATCTTTGTGTAGAAAATTATAAAAGAAAACCCATTTCACTTGTCTATACCAGAACATTAAAATAGCTGTAAGAGTTGTTCATGCCTGTCAGCAACACAAATGTGCTGATGTTACATGTGTGCCGAAATATACATGACTGATATATAAAAAGTATCTGCCATAATACGTTACTTTGTATATGTACTGATGTGTATCTATACCGAAATAGATGATCTTCTTATGTTAATTGTTCTGGTGTACCTCAGGTAAAGTGGCTAATACAGTATGTGCCAAAATATACAGTACTGAAATGAAAAGATATCCTGTTGATACCACTCTCTATTCATGTGAAGGCCCCGTGCACAACAGAACCTTCTCAAATCATGAAGAAATGGTCCGATCACCATGTCCGTGTAGCATTCTTGGGTGACGGTAAGAGCATTGCCTTCCTCATCCTCAATTAAATAGGGGCCTAATATACCATGTGCTGAGACAGCACACCATACCATCACGCGTGTACTGTGTAGCGGTTTCTGGACGATAACATCTGGCCGCTCAAAACCAAGGAAGCAAGTTGTCTAGCGACCACTTCCATATAAGCAGAAATAATACTCAACTATGAATACTTTTTCCTCCATTGAGAGACCCATTTCCAACAAAAACTGCACAACACAACTTCCTTTTCACTACTGGGAACACATGCGACTGGAGTTATGCCCTGTCAATAAACGCACATGTGCATTTGAGATGCGCGAGTTTCATTACTGCATATTTGGCACATACTGTATTTTGGAACCTTTAGTGTGCTTACTGTTGAACAGAATTCACAACCATTCTTTCTATATGAGCACTACTTTCTCTTAATGTGCTTCATTACAGTTAAGTTATAATGCAGATTTTCTTTCAAGTTTAACTACTTAAGAAACAAAGTTTAACGAACAAATAGCAAAACAAGATGATGGCATGAAAAAGGTAGCCAAGTAAGATCTATACAACTTATTTATTTGACCGTCACAACACAACAATAAAAGAACTTCAAGGACAATGCCCAGATATAGTGCATATTTAGGAGTTAAGTTTTCAGCCAAGCATTTCTTATTAAAATATAAATTAGCGTTGCAGTTCAATAGCTTTAGTTTTGTGTTCATGTATTTATATATGCATCTATATCTGGGCATTGTCCTTGAAGTTCTTTTATTGTTGTGTTGTAACAGTCAAATAAATAAGTTGTATATACTGTAACATAGCAGAATGCATGAAATGAAAATTACAAGTAAGATCTAATTGTTTCAACTGTTGTTAATTCGTATAAGTGTAATTGTATTTGAATTCAAAATGATGCATCAATTGAGATACATATTGTAGTAGAAGAGTGAAATATGTAACAAAACTGATACTTATATTTTGATTTGTTTTATTTATATAATGTCTAAGACTAAGGTATACATATATTGTCACACCTGCTACCCAGAGAAAGCTTGTAACTGAGGAAAGTCACTTTTCTCTTTCACTTTGTAGGTGACTTTCCTCCCTTCACATTTGTATTTCATTTCAATTTATTTTTGTTTACATTAAATTTTTAGCAGTATGATACATGATATTACCAGACTATAAACTGAAGTAGTTTTGATTATTTGAGAATGTCTTTCACCATCATTCATAAAATATTTTGTGAAAGATAAAATTCTATTTAATTACATAACATTCAAACCCACCAAGTTTAAGCTGTAATAAGCAAGAGAAGCTGTGTGTTATATTACACCTTAACACTGTACCAAAAAGGTACATGTATAAAATACATGTACTTTACATGTATAAAGTTATTTTATAATCTGCCTCTTGAAATAAAGGGGATTGTTGAGATACACAAACAATTTAAGATTTGATTAAGAAGATACTTGATTACCCATTGTTTTTATGACTTGGAGGAGTATTATAGTGTTAATGAATGATGTTGTAAACTAATGGTTTTATATGAATAGTATGTTAGTTACTCTATATTGAATTATATGAGTCTATCTGTACAATAATTTTATTGTATTTACGATAATACTTATTGTCTTCTAACACACAATGGACCAATATCTGGTCTAAGTGCATGGGGAAACACACCCTCTCCAATAACAACAACAACTTATTGTCTTCTATATCATTTATTTTATTGCTTTATAATTTTGACATGTTCTAATTATTTACTTGAGCTCAACTTATACCTGAACTTTACTTAAGATTGTATTGTACTTTTATGTTCTTCTGCTTATCTTGACATATTTTAATTAATATTTGACATGTTCTATATCCTATGGTTTGTAACCAGTTTTATTGGATCATCTGGAACTCGAAATAAATTACAATTACAATTACAATTACAAGGCTTGCTAATTTGACAAAATTCATACCTAACCTTCAAAACATTAGGTACTCATAAATCTGTAAGTCTTAATATAGAGTGGGGTTTTACTTCTAAGGAGACTGCTTGGAAATGTAGTCATTTTCCACTCTTTCAATATCCATCTTGTATGTTCATGAAATTAGTACTACCACAGCATGGAATACCACAAATATTTCATGTATATATTTGTTTTTTTAACAACTGTAGCAAAATATCATAGATATAAAATGAAGGAATGTGTATTTCCTAGTATAAGGACTGATCAGAATAGAAATATAAATCTAAGACAATGACTATAAATATCTCCTACACAAAGCAGTCCATCCCTCTGCCAGAATACTTAAGATCTGAGAACCAAAAATGTACCTGTATGACATTATGGCCTGATATTGTCAAATGGAATTAACTTTGAGTTCTTCTTTACTTGTTATATTCTGGAAGTCTGGAAATAAAAATACCTTATATTAAAAATATAATTTTATTTTAAATAAATTATGTATATTTGAGCAGTGTTCAAGCAACAAATTACATATATTTACTTACTTACTTATGGAGCTGAGCCCTTCTTGAGAACCTGCCAATTGTGCAGCTGCTCAAGAATTTCCCAGCATTTTATGGAACCCGAAGGTTCATTACCATGTTCACAAGAGTCCTCCACTGGTCTCTATCCTGATCCAGATCAATCCAATCCATACCATCCCATCCTATATCTCTAAGATTCATTTTAATATTTTCCACCCATCTACACCTTGGTCTTCCCAGTGGTCTCTTTCCTTCTGGCTTTCCCACCAATATCCTATATGCATTCCTCGTCTCCCCCATTCATGCTACATGCCCTGCACACCTCATCCTCCTTGACTTGATAATTCTAATTATACTTGGAAAAGAGCACAAGTTATGAAGTTCCTCATTATGCAGTTTTCTCCAACCTCCTATCACTTCATCTCTCTTTGGTCCAAATATTCTCCTCAACACCCTGTTCTCAAACACCCTCAGTCTATGTTCCTCCCTTAATGTCAGAGACCAAGTTTCACACCCATACAGAACCACAGGCAGTATTATAGTTTTGTATATTCTAATTTTTATGTTTTTGGACAGCAGACGAGAAGACAAAAGGTTCTGGACTGAACGGTAGCAAGCATTACCCCAGTTCATTATATAGATGTTAATAATCAAATAATAATAGACATTACATACTCACCATATAAACACCAACAATCAAACCAAATAAGCCAATGGCACTAGCAAAAATCTCAATAATGAGTATTTTTACAAAGAGTGAGGAATTAGCAGCATCTGATATGGCTGCCCCAGAGCCTGTAAAGAAGTGTATTCAGTGTCACTAATTAGTTTGGGCCACATGAAGTAGCAGGATATTTCTATATGATCCACATGCAAATACTGAGACTATTTATCTCTTCATGACAGTGGACAAGTAAAAAACTTTTGCTTCATTATTACTGTGTATTAACCTTTGTCTGCTGTGTCGGATAATATTGATAAGAAAGATTAAATGGCATGAAATATAGGCTAATAACCATATATATTAGAAACAGGCTGTAAAAACTGACGTGCAAGCATACAATAGCATTTATATTTTACAGACGGTTCCATTCAATTCTGAAAAATCTCTGGCAAATATATGAACCGAAAAATAAAGAAACAAAACATTAATTTATGTATTGCTATTATTCCTCATAATCCTGATGTATCTGATTTTTACAGAGCATATAAGAAACTCAAAGAAAATAAAAAATAGGTAAACATTTACAAAGAATCAAGATAATGGACTTCTGGAATATAACACCATATAGGTAGGTATGAACTTTGTAGAGTACCAAACTAAATGGCATCACCTCCCAGAAGACTACAACCTTCATATTCAGTACCCAAGGAATGTCATATCTCACATCTGCATAGTAGATAACTAGTATTGTACATTATTCAGCACTATAATAATGGGTTACTGACAATATCACTAAATAAAACTAACTTACTTACTTACTTATGGAGCTAAGCCCTTCTTGAGAAGCCACCAATTGTGCAGCCACTCAAGAATTTCCCAGCACTTTATGGAATCTGAAGGTTCATTACCGTGTCCACAAGAACCCTCCACTTGTTCATATATTGAGCCAGATCAATCCAATCCATACCATCCCATGCTATCTCTCTAAGATCCATTTTAATATTGTCCACCCACCTATGCCTTGGTCTTCCCAGTGGTCTCTTTCCTTCTGGTTTTATCACCAATATCCTATGTGCATTTCTATTCTCCCCCATTCGTGCTACATGCCCTGCACACCTCATTCTCCTTGACTTGATCATTCTAATTATACTTGAAGAAGAGTACAAGTTATGAAGCTCCTCATTATGCAGTTTTTCCAACCTCCTGTCATTTCACCTCTCTTTGGTCCAAATATTCTCCTCAACACCCTGTTCTCAAACACCCTCAGTCTATGTTCCTCCCTTAATGTCAGAGACCAAGTTTCACACCCATACAGAACCACAGGCAAAATTATAGTTTTGTATATTCTAATTTTTATGTTTTTGGACAGCAGACGAGAAGACAAAAGGTTCTGGACTGAANAATAGATAAAATTACTTTACATCTGTGTGAAGTAGAAATGAATTTTTAAGACTTAACTCTTTTCATATCAAAAATATGAGATAAATCACCTTGAACCCAAAATCTTCAGCTTTGATTGACCTAGGTGTAAGACATTAATAAAAATAAAATTACAATGTCATGACAATTCAGCCATTCATAACCCATAAACTTTTTATCTAGCATATTCGTATAAGGCTTAAATTTGCCTTTTACACTGATGCCACAAAATTCATGCAGTTTAAAAAGCACTGTCAAAATTAAATAAGAAATCTGGCACATCTCACGTACTGAAACACTTTGTACTGCATGACAATACACTTTCTGTTATTTGTTAGAAATACTGGTTTTGAAATGAAGTCAGAAAATATGAGATGTCAAATTCTGAAGTCCAAATCACACATGAAAGTCCTTATAAATTATACATAGCACGGGCCATGTAAACGAGTGACTGATTGCTGCCTGGTATAAGCTTTTTAGCTGAGACTGAAAGAAAAATGTAACATTGCCTTATGTATTGATTTGATAGTGATTCGCTTTCTCAAAAGAACGATAAACCTTCCTAACAAAATGTATGTTTATTATGACTTGGTTCATATATGAATATTTATATACCTGCAATTGGAATACAGTATGTAGTTATGTTTAACTGGAGTTCAGGAATCCTTCTGTACAGTCATTGCCTTTATTGAAGCCATCTGTATACTGCAGTTTAAACAAACAAATTAGTATTTAACTGGATGGTCTGGTGCACTCACTCACCGACAGATCCTACACAAAGTCCACAGAATAAATCGACCAACCCAACACACAAGCCAGCGCCAAAAGTCACATATGCTGCCATCATTTTCCGGGCATTTTGTACCATATCTGTTACTTCAGTTACCTGAAAGTTAAAAATCAGTGACTGTGATGCAGAGAGCTCTGAAGAATGTATTATCATTCTGGATGAACAGCCATGAAGTTGGTACTGGATGGTTTCACTCACATCACATACACATTCACATTGCTGTCACTGTTTGTTACATTCAGAGAGATGATTTATTTACTTTGGTATGCACAAGTGACACATTCCATGTGTCTGTATGTTACCATTTGTGCCTAGTCAACAAGATTGGCGTAAAAATTTTGGAAGCTCTTAGTGCCAGAAATGTTAATTTTTTTTTTCAGTCTAGTTGTAAAACACTACTCTCAGTTATTAGTGATAAGTTTTGGGAGAATGTTATTTTTCATTATTTATCCAGTTACTTTAATTTGAGTGGAAGAAAAGATTTGTCTTGTAAATTATCATGGTATTAGTGATTTTACTCAGTGTTCCTATTACATGGACATGTTGGAGCCACCAACATTCATTCAAGCTCTGCTAGGCAACGGCTTGCTAAAATGCATTCTCATGTCAACAAAGATTCAACGAAGGTTTCCATGGATATGAGGTTATGCAGTCAACAGTGGGACCTCTGTTGCTTAGTAGCCAACATTTCGGTATGCATGTTTCCGTGGGAAACAATTTATACAGATATGCGCAAGCCTATATAAAGAGCCGCGCACACAAGAAGGAAGCATTCATCAGCAAGATGTCGTTCAAAGCAATTGAAGTAGGAAGGAGAGCAAAGAACTAATTCAAAGAATTTTCCATCATCTGAAGCGCTATTACATAATGATTAATGAAGGCATAACAGGCTGAAGCTCATTTGTGCATTCATTATTGCAACAATAAATATTTGTAAAATGTAAAGCTATCCCTGTAAGAGGCCGTGAAGTCCCATAGGGATGTGAGACGTTGAGGGTCCCACATTATCTAGACAATCGGCTCAAAGCTGGCAGTAAGGTTGTCAGCCTTATGCGCCGGCCGCACTTTACTCCCCAGGAAAATTATTTAATTAATTCCTGGTACTCATTTCTGTTAGAGGCTGAGTCAACCCCAGAGCCATAGTGCAGCTGGAAGGATTATGTCAACTGAAAAAAATCCAATGACCTCATCGGGACTTGAACCCGTGACCTTCCAGCTCGTAGCATAGTGCCTCAACCAACTAAGCTACTGCGCGCCCCCTCAATAAATATTTGTATATAAGTTTAATACATGGTTAACTCTTCAAGCATCAACAGTCCCACAGAGACAAGCTTACTGCTATGTTTTGTATGGCCTGCAATTGGTTTCTTGAGAATGATCCTATGCCACTGCAGTCTACATCATAGATTGACAAGACTTCAGAGTGAGTGGAAATAATAATCACCATCATCTTCCAAGAGTAGTATTATAACTTTACCATTGCAGTGCACCATTGTGACACTTTTTATTATTTTCCCATATTATTTGTAAACATGTTATTACTTTTTTTTTTTAATTTATTGAAGGAACATGCAATTCTTTTATGCTTTGTTGTGTTAACAGAGGCTACAGATCTCACAATCCATAATTTCACATAAGGTCTTGGTCCTACCAGCCACGGCATTTTTTCAGGAATTTAATCCTGACAACTGGTGAGGTACTTCTCAGTATATGTTCACACAGTTACCATAGTCATTGTTAGTGTTACCCAACATGACAAGAGGTATGTGGAATCAAACCAGAACACAGAGTGCACATAAATAGGATTGATTTTTTTTTCCTGAAAGAATAAAGCATTCTTGACATGTAGTTTACTTATAGTACTACAAATTTTACAGGTGTATAAGTTGTATCTCGCATATAATACATTTAAAAACAACCAATTTTGAGTCAAATTTAAAAAAAAAGTTAGTCTTCTTATGAAATATCCAGTAAATACTTAAAATGTACTGTAAGTACATTGTCAACTTGCCAGAAGCATAATTAACTTCATGAAACCAAGCACTTTTTAAGAAGCCAACAATTGTGTAGCTACTCAGGAACTTCTCAGCAATTTATGAAACCTGAAGGTTCCTTACAATGTTCACAAGAGCCCTTCATTGGTCCTTATCCTGAGCCAGATCAATCCAGTTAATATCACCCCATCCTATCTTCCTAAGATCCATTTTAATAATATCCTCCCACCTATATGTAGGTCTTCCTAGTGGTTTCTTTCCTTCTGGATAAAACATCAATATCCTGTATGCATTCCTTGTCTCCCCTATTCATGCAACATGCCCTGCCCACCTCATCCTTCTTGGCTTGATCATTCTAATTATACTTGGAGAAGAGTACAACTTATGAAGCTCCTCATTATGCATATTTTCCAACCTCCCATCACTTTATCTCTTTTCGATCCAAATATTCTCCTCAACACCCTGTTCTCAAACATCCTCTGTCTACGTTCATCCCTTAATATCAGAGACCAAGTTTCACAATCATACAGAGCAATGGGCAAAATTATAGTTTTGTATATTCTAATTTTTATGTTTTTAGACAGCAGACAAGAAGATAAAAGTTTCTGAACTGAATGGTAGCAAGCATTACCCGAATTCAGTCTCCTCTTAATTTTCTTCTGAATCAAGTTTTAATTTTTTACTGTAATTCCCAAATATTTGAACTGTTAGCTATCTTTTATGTCATGATTTTTTACCTTTCATTCTGGTGACAAGTCACCAAGTGTGCCTTGGTATTTACTATGATGTGCCATATGAAATTTCAATGACAGATATACGGATGCGTATTATATTTCAACCTAGTATTATATTTCGCAACTGAACTTACATCACTGAGGGAAGCTTGCTGAAGTGCAGATTATGGTATGGGTTCACCTAACACAACTTACATTTACCAGGAAGGAACACTTATGTGAATTCATGAATTTGGCTGGAACATGACATAAAAAAGGGGGGAACCATATTATAAAATATTCCTTAATTCTTTCACCTATCATTACATTATAAAATTTCAACATAATTATATCGCTTTTATAATAAGTATTGTGACATGACCCCTGACAGCCAGAATAATGGTACAAGAAGAGGCAGTCGTTGCCTAGCAAAGGGGTTGGGTGGGTACACTCATGTGAAACTGCGTTTCAACAAATGTGGTGCCTACTCAGAAGGACAAACCCTTCTTCATTTCGAAGAGGAGACCCCAGTTCCAAACACATAAACGGTCTTTGAACAAACATAAATTAGGTCATGGGTCCCAAATCCCAGGAACAACTGTTACAACGAAGACTAGCAGCAATTTACTAGAACAGACTGGACAGTCGGAAAACTGAAGGCTCCCAAAGCTGTCAGACATGAGTCCAATGGGACTTGGAACCGAGAATTGCTAGTGAGGGTTGCAGCAATTTAGCAGCCAGTCCGTCCAGTCGGTCTTGAGTTGTATTGTTAGCAGCCGCCACCTAGCAGTGACTAGTGAACAAACAGAAGATTTTGTGTGTTTTGTAGTTGTAGTGATCTATAGAGTGTGTGTATATGTTATAAGTGGTCAGTCAATCCAAATCCTGTGTCTAGTCACTAACACGTAACAGTAGTGGCCTCCGTAGTCTGGAGGTAACGTTCCCACCTCATGACTCGTAGTACGAGGGTTCGAATACCCGGTGGAGGTCGTCGAATTTTTAAGGGCAGAAGAATTCAGGGAACAAGTCCTCCGGGAGGAACTTTAACCCGTGGGTTCCGTGTCGTAGCTTTACGGCACATAAAAGAACCTCATATCTCCAAAGGAGGTCACTGAGCCAAATTACGAATGTTTCCCAGCCAACAGCAGTCTCTAATACCTCTGGTAGATGGAGGAAGCATTACAGATACCTCTCAGCTAGTAGAGCCGGTCTCGTTGGCTGGGCGGGACTGATGGTAAGCACCAGTACCAGTAGGATATAGAGACTGGTAGAAATCATAGAGGGATGCACAATGGACCAATACAGGTCTAAGTGCATGGGGAAACCCACCCGCTCCAATAACTAACTAACTAACTAAACTAACTAACTAACACGTAACAGTATAAAGAAACAGCCAGTAAAAATAAATAACAGGATTTTAACTAAAACCAAAATATTTTGGTCAAAAATTATTTTAAATGAACTTAGGTTATAGAGAAAAAATTCTGTGTAATGCATTTCATGAACCATGTCACAATGCTCTGAACAAAAATGTATAAAGTCAATACTACATCACACTGCTTACTATTTATAAGCATATATGTACACCATGGATTAAAATTCATTATGAGAATGCGATGGGAAAGAAAATTATACACATAAAAGGCCAACCTTAACAAGAGAAATATTAATACATTCATACCTCAAGAGCTGTTGTTCCAGAGAGAACAATTGCCGTTATTAATCCATAAATTGCCACAGCTTCACAGAAAATAACAGAAATTAAATTCTTGGTTTTAATACGTGGTGCCTTTACACCTCCTCCAACGATGCTCGCACCCGTGGTGTAGATGCCTCTAGAAAATTTGAACAAAAGTGGCAACTTAGAAGGAGGCTGGAATCTAGCAGGGCATTTTGCATTCATTTCCTGCATTCCTAAAACCAGGAATATGAAAAAACATTTAACAGAACATATAACACAAACTAATGTTTTCATATACACACAATCTTTAAGTAGTCACAGCAACATATCATAGCCATCCAATTCCGAGACAGTTTCCATGCTTTGAAAAATATTTAAATAGGTATCTTACACAGCAGCTCCAACCACTGATAATCCCACACAGAGTCCAATGCCTGTACTAGCCCACAAGTATGGACTGGTTTCTTCCAGGAACCTACATAACAATTTAGAGCTATTAGTGCAAAATAAAAAGGCAGATGAACACATCAGTGACACCTCAGAGTGGTGATTCTCTAAAGGCTGGTGACCATGGTTGGGTCATTATATAAACATTATGTTGGACACTGTCCATTGTCTGAGGTGTAACTGATATACACAGCATTTCAAAACCGGATCTTTGTCCTTCATCAGCTGTAAGGGGAAAAAGCTCCTACTTATTTAGGCCCATCAGAAAGAACTTATCTCAAAAACATAATTGGGAGGATGTGTTCTCCTTGAGCAAGTCACCAGAATTTGTCAGTTGAAAGTCAGCCTGTAAAGAGGAGACTGGGAGGTTGGTGTGAAATGGCCGCCAGCCTTGAACCCAGTTAGCTGAGAGCTGGCAGCTCAGTTGAGTGAAATGAAGTACTGGTTAGTGAATGAGAGAGTTCAGTTGCGGGATATTCGCTGGACAGTAACAACATGAGCACAGGAAGCCGAAGAATCTCCAGCATTAGAAGCCACTGCTAGGGAACGGCTGTTGAAGACACAGTAGGCTGGAAAAAGGCTTAGCGGGTACTGCAGTGATTTGTGAAGTGTGGAGATTAGTGATAGTGCGGTAATTGTTTTTAGTTCTGAGTGGTGTGTACAAGTACGTCCATAAATCAACTTCAAGTCAAACTCTGTCTATAGTCACACCCTTAAAATACATGACAATATCATCATACCTTGGGTGTACCTTTGGTTCCACATATTACAATGACCAAGACTGATGTTCAGAATATAATACTCTAAAACAGTTAAGATTTAACTTACAAGAAGGAAATATTCAATTTATGTAAAGTAACTGCATAGAAAAAATTGCAGTGTATAAGTCTATGGAAAGTGAAACACAGTACAACCAATGACTTCTTCCTCCCTGTTACCATATTCTAAATATATACCAAAAATATGTTGAGAATTAAATTACGGGGAGAATAAATCCAAAAGTTGTTTTTTACTTCAAGCTGGAATAATCTCACATGTTTTTCAAAAGAGCAGCAATTATAATATTTACAACAATTTTTACAAATCTATTTCGTAATAATGCAAAACAATAACTCTCACTCAGGTACTTGTAAAAAAAATCACAAGCAGCAACAAACGATATGATAATTATAGTCATGTCATGGGCAATCAAGCAGAACATGGATTAAATTTTCATATACGCATCTGAAAAATCTTGAAACTAATACCTGAGACCTAAGGGACTGTTTAGAGAATTGGTAAAAGCATCCGTGTTCATCCATTTTAGAACATCTAAACCTAATTTATGGGTTGATAAAGTTTTTGAATCCTCAAAACATCCTACCCCCATATTTTTGGTTGAATTATGGCATTGGAATACATAGGGTGGTTATTCATAATAAATCATTAATTTATTCAATGTAATGTGTCTGCTTCTCAGTTGATATATTTAGAACAGTCTGCTTACTACTACTTCGATGGACAGAACAGGAAAATAGTAAAACCACATTTTCTACTTTAGTTCATAGCTAAAAATGGTCAGCTCAGCTGGAGGAAGCAAAATATACACACAGTTCTCATAAGGAAAGCAGGATGTTAGAAAACAGTGGAGTACGTGGGTGAATAAATATTAAAATGGACCATAATTGAATAGGTTGTGAACAGACTCATGACCACATACTATTGTGGAATCTGTATTATTGAGTTCAATCATTTGGTTTCATTAGCAGAGCTGGTAACTTCTCATAATATTGCTTGTAATAATTATCTTTCGGCTCCAGTCCTTGGTTGTCTTGTAAAAATATCAGCAGGCCCTCAGTTACAGAAGAGGTCCCATTTTTAAGCAATGCACATGTTATGAAGATATCTTACCATGCTATACTCAGAGCTTCACCTCTTCCAGTTAGCAGATAAAACAGAACTGCAACAAATATCAATTACAAGCACATCAAATTTTCCTTATGGCACCTCATAAAAACATGAGCTTCCACTTGGTTTGCAGCATATGATGTAGCTTAATATGACTTTGCGACATACACTGGAAACCTTCAAAGATGTCTTTTCTGAAATTTTCCACTAGTATCTCCAAGCAATATATTCATAGGAAAATATTATCTTTTGTCACCTAAGTTTACACATAGCACTTTCCATAGTCAGGAGAGTTGAGGCAGGAACGGTTTCCCTCACCACTTCAGACAGCATAGCTACATAATGCAAATGTCAACCATTTAAAACAAATTTCATGGAACAGAGAGCCCAAAACCAGTCTTACTAGGTGAGGGAGATATTGACTTTTTATCAACACCAAAATTAGCTGTGTGTAATAATTTCTGAGCCACGCTACTTCTGAGAGCATTCTGTGCACCAAAAGATTAATTTTCTCAACTTTAGATCCCTCTATCCAAAAGAAATATTGTTAAATATAACGAATTTATTTTCTTCACTGGTTCAACTACTTTATTAAATTTCAACAAAACCTATAATAGACAGGTGAAAATGACCCTTTCACTGTGTACATTCTCTGGGCTGATAATGAATGTCCAGTATAGGAAGAACTGAAACTCTGATTCCATATTTTAAATAGTGGATCACAATCATATTTTTTATATTTATTAAGTTTCATTAGAGCACCACAACAAAATACTAGTTTTGTTCCAATAAGACCCTTGGCCCATTTCTCCCATTCAGCAATTTAACTTCAAAATGAATTCTATATGTACTAATATTACTTAATCTTCATTAAGTTTCACACGTGTAAGATCCTCAGGGATCTATCATACCCAAAAACTGATTCACACATGTCAAGTTATAGGATTTTAAAGCACTGATATCTCAGTTAGTTGTGGATACTCTTAATTTACATACCTTAAAGATGTGAGTGGTTAAATAGTGCTCACTAGTTCTAGACCCAGTTTTATACAAAACAGTTCCTGTCATGGAAGTTCCTGATTCGAGAACCATGCATATTACAAATGAAAGCTTCACAAGTTCACTTGTATCTTCATGAATTTATGGAAATTTGATTTTAAGAAGTATAATCTGAGATGTACATAAAATTAATTTAAGAGTGAAATAAAATGTTTCATTCAGTGCCATTTTAACTCCATCAATGCTTATGATAATGGTTTTAATTTTTAGTACCAGAACTTACTTATTCCTGTCACCAAGAGACTGAAAAATCCAATGTAAAGATATGCTATTGTTGTTCTCATTTTAACTCACTCACTTTTCACCTAACAACATGAATACTCATGTGACCAAAAACCTTGAGGCTAGCAGGTTGCGTTCTTTCAACCTAGTTCAGATAGTGTTATCTTATCATACAGTGTATGGAACAGTTTACCCATTAAATATTTTTACATCAACCCACTTTTTTCTGAACAGAAGATGTAAGATTTCCAACAAAATCTTAATTTGTGATTCCCACTTTAAGGTAAGTGTTAAACATAACAAAGAGGATTAATGTACACAATTTTATTATACAACTAATGAAAAAATGAGTTGCTGCCTATCATATGCATTGAAGTGTGGAAAAGTGGTAACAGCTGAGCATGGAAACTGTACACTGACTTACATAAAATTTCACAGACTAAACTAGTTCATGCAGAACTTCAAATCTAATACTTTATACCATGTGCAAAATATCTAAATATAATGTTACAGGGCTTTTATATTAACTGGCCTAAGGGTGAAAGAATATTGTGAATTTAAATCTTGCAATGGATTGGAAAAATTATGCTCTTATCAATTATTCATTTTACATTTTTCTCTAAGAGATATGTGGTGTGTTTGTTTGCTTTGTAAAGTTATGCATTTGTAGTGAAAAGTTCCATCTTCTGGTATATAATACCATGTAGCTCACTGAAAGTCAACCAACGTTTCAGAGGAACAAGTCACCTCCTCCACTTTCAGCTCAAGTATAAGCCAAGCTAGAAACCAGCATGAAGAGCTTGCCACTCTGGTTGCTGCCTATGTCTCACTGGTTGTTTACTTGGATTACTCTTCAACCCTGAAGATGGAGCTCTATGTTCTATTGGACCACATATCATGACATTCCAGAACATAGCACTCCTTACAGTCAATGCTGAGAGAACCCTATATCCAGTACAAAGGATATTTAACAACTGGTCTGCCATATTTTTGGAGGTGATTCCGGAGATACTGTTGAGTATAAAAAGTTAACAAACAATGGTTGTATTTCCAATTGTTGGGAATCAACATATATTTTAAGATGTGCAAACAAATGCCTATTTCTGTGAAATTAGATAGATGGCAAAACTGACAACGGTTTCAGCTAAACTACAGCTACTACTGGTTCTGTTGTTTCTTGCCTCACTTGCTTCTGATCTGTGCTAAGAGTCAAACAAGTGATCGACCAAGAATCCTCATGGGACCACTGAAAGCACATTCCAGCACCGATTCTCAGTGAACATTTGGTGTGGCCTGGTTATCTAGATCATTCCTTTTGGAACATTTAACTTCTGCTAATTATCTGAACTTCATGATGAAGAAATTGCTGCTATAAATTAAAGATGTGCCACTGAAGAAGAGCCTGAGGATGTTTCTTTAACATGTGGGGATCTCCACAGTATGGTCAAGTTAGAGCTTATTTGAATCAGTGGATTGGTAATGCTGACATGAACTGTTACTCTTCCTTAGTTTACATACAATTATGTTTGTAAAAGGCAGCAGAAAGACTAATGAAGATTTGAGGGATGAGTTCTCCTGTATTCCATACTACAGTCACTTTCAAGCTACTTCATGGGACCTTCACCTTGTCGACTAACACAAAGACAACATGGGGACAAAACTGAGAACATGACATCTGTATAAAAAATTGTGAATCTGATCAATGCACATTTTCATTCAAACCCTCTTGTAATATTACAATTGATGAAAGTCTAAGAATCAGTGGAGCATTTGGCAAATTTCAAGGGAATATATCCACTGAAAAATTTTATTCATATTATAATTATAAGTTGGGTCAAGCCCTATTACTATGGTATGTAACCTCTACTGGCTCTGTACGGTTTTAAACAAAAAGGTGCCAGCAGATGCTTCCTTAAAAGAACTGAGAAGTGTGTCTCAGTATGTCTGCAGACAATGAAGAACTTCCTGTTCCCTACAACCCAACCTGATTAGTAATTGCCCTTTCGACATACCAGAATTTTTTAGAGCTGAAAGATAACAATGAGGAGAAAAATCCTCAAATTGTACTTCTGTTTACATTTTCAGCTTATTTTATATTGCTGTCGGTAATTCAGGCTACACAGAACTACAAATTATTCTTTCCTGTAACACAACCAAATAAGATGTGGACACATTGAACCCAGCAGGATATCAGAACTTTTTCTAAATAAGAAACAAGAATGCAGCCTTTCAGTGTGTTTTAAGACATCATCAACCTTGTGGCCATAAGACTTACTTTAAAGCAACAGATGCTGTAAAGGGGATGTTCCTCATGAAGCAGGCATAGTAGTTGTCAAAACACAAATTATATCATGACTGAACTCATCACAGACAAAAAACTAAAGGAATTATGAATGCCACAAAATCATGCTGATCACCAGTGCAAGAAAGTTTCACTGCTTCAGGCATAGTACTGATCCTGACAGTCAGAAGTGCAGTAGATGTTCTCTTTAACCTCATTCTGAAAACAAGGACTACACAGCAGTCCTGTCTGTAACAACTACTCAAAAATATATACTTTAAGAAGATCCAAGAACAGTACCTAAAATAAGGCCACCACTTTATCAAATTAATTATTATCCAAATACTTGATGGTATAGAGTCCAAGCTACTGACAGTTTTTTTATATAAACTATAAATATGAAAATATATACAGTGTGTGGGGGAATGGAGGGGGGGGTTCTGATATGCTTCTTCATGTTCGTAAAGTTTTCCTTTTGTATCTTTGACAGAGATGAATATTGCAATCCTCAAGGAGAAATATCTGCCCACAGATCTTATCAGGGATCAAACTCAGAACCCCCTGAATGGCAGTCAAATGTCATAGTAAGAAACCACCAGGTCCCCTTACTTCTCAAGTATGAAGAATAATAACAGTAATAACAAAAAATCATCAAAAATGGATGAAATGACTTCTGTGAAGGTTTTGCTTTCATGTAATACCAATTCATGCCTATAGTAATGCCTGTTACATTCAACTTATATTTACTGCTTTTAATTGTGTGTCTATACATAATGGAATGCTGACAGCACATTCCCTTTCTGGCATGTAACTTTCTGTTTTGCAAAGAAAAGTATAAAATGTTTCTTTATGAACTGAGGGAGAACAATATCTGATGAATACAAAGATTCTTAATTTTTTCACCCTCTTCTTAACATTCTTCTAAATTCCAGAAAAAAGGAACAAGAAAACACATGATGAATAAAAAATATGATTCATTATTTCAATGCTTCAAACCAAAAATAATTATTCCTTCTTAAATACTAGGTCATCAACTATATGTTGTTACTGGTTTCAAGACATTTATAATTAATATATGCTGCAATTATCACGATTTTCCTCTTCTCATTGAAAATGTTTCACAGGGATTTCACATCCACTGCTCATTTTCATGGACTAATGATTAATTTACAACTAAAACAACTCACACGAAGTTAACTGACAGATTATCATGGTATAATGTTATGACATGAAATGCCATTATATCTTCAGATGAAATAATTACTTTTTTTAAATTGGAAGCCCTGCTCATGTGACAAAGCTTATTATTCAGTTGTTGGTCACATGAGAATAGTGGAACAGCATAGCTAATCATTTTACACAAGCTGGAATAGTCATTATTACAACTGAGTTAGCCACCGTTTGCTCATATCGATGTTAAACTGGGAAAATGAGGGTGGATGAGGAACAGAGAGATGGGAATAGGCCTAAAGCCTGCATTTTTATCTCTTACCTTTAAGCTTTATAAACTGTTTCATAACCCCACCTCCATCCCCAATGCACTATTCCCAGATCTACTGTTTTGCTTTTAATGCAAGCTCAAGAGATGTGAAATGCACTGTTAACATGATATGCAGTATGAGACTAGAACGGTGTAAGCATGAACATATGAAGCCTACCAAGGTATGTAACAAAACTGCAAATGATAATAACAAAATACAATTTTATTTTCCTTGTTATAACATGATCAATTCTTTGTTTTTTCTTTAAATGTACACCAGTGTTCTCATTCCAATATTACTATTTTTACACTACATGAAGAGCATTCTGGAAAAAGAGAAGAACAAAAACATGAATCAAAAAACTAACAGTTTCAGGTCAATACACACTTGACTTACACTTCAAGATTCCAGCCTGTTTATCTTCATTCTGCAGGTGTACCAGTGCATGATGTAGATATAACAATTTTGTTATTTTACTAATACAAGTATATGTCTCTTAAAAAATATGATACATTTTAAAGAATCACAACTGACACATTTCAGAAGACTGTCATACTAAACTTTGGTAATGATTCATGGTAATTACATGTTTTACCAGATTCACTGATGGTGCAATTAAAATCAACTTGAAAGGTCTACGGTATTAAGTTTTACAATTATACTTCCTGTTAACACTGAAGGCAAAAAATAAAAATACTGATGTAGTGTACAATCGCACATTTTCTTTAAACAGTTTTATAAACTGTACCACAAAAATGAGCTGGATTTAATCACTGCTGTAATGGCAATAAAATTTTGCCAAATTTATGGCTCAATTCTTCATCAGATTTTCAGTTAGTATATTATTTACAATGATACTACTCAATCAGTTGATTTTTAGTTGAAAATGTTATACCTATGGAAATTCAATAAAAGGACAGAATTTTGCTTCTAACTTTCAAGTTCACACATATAATTTAACATTAAAATAAACATATCAAGCGTGACCTTCTCCTTAGTGGTATCAGCTGAGATATCTAGCACAGATTTCATCTTCAGGTGGTTCAGATAAATTAACTTCTGAAAGTATGCAATGTTTAACTATGTGGCCAAGTTCTCAAGTTTCCCATACCAAAATGCTGGTAAACAGGAATGTTCTCCTTGCTTTACTTAATGCACTAGTTTTGAGACAGCAAAGATAAACAAAACAAACTCTGTGGTTTCAATCTGCAAGTGAACTATACTGACTGAGCAACCGCTTCTTGTCGGAAAAGTGAGTGCCAACTTCAGTGGATAGAGGGTGTCATGTGGTGAGTGCAACGAATCCCCATGGCCATTAATTTCAGTTTTCTAGACCGGAGCAGCTTTTTCCTTGAAACAGTTCCTCAGTTATCCTCACGAGGCTGAATGGACCTTGCCCCAGCTGCACTACTTCTCAGAAAATCTGGTAGTGCCAGGAACTGAACCAAGACCTCTGGATCTGTAGTCAGGAACTCTAACCACTAGACCACAGAGGCACATAATCACAAGGTAGAGACACAAAATTATTTTGGCAAACAACCAAAAGGACAATAAAGAAGTCATCTCTTTTCTTTATGAGTTATGCTGTGATTTGACTGCTTCTGAGTTCAAACTTTATGCTCTCTAACACACCACATAAATTTAATGGACTTCACTGTCAGACTGTTAGTAATTTTAAGTATCATTATTCAGACAACATTATGAATATAATGTTTACTTTTAGAGAGACTGGATTGCACATGAGATATTCACATCAGACTTAGGCAAATACAGCACTTATCGTATGATCCATAATATAATTTGCAACATTTGTTCTTACACATATTCAAAGATTGTCACTGCATTGAAAACTGACACAATAAGGACCATGTTTTTTGCAGCAGATTGTTATTTGTACATCTCTACTCATCATGTACACACAACACACCATTTTGATGTTGACTCAGTTCTACTGCTTATTACACTGGATGACTGTGGGCAATGCTGCTTGATGTTTCAGAGGTATAGCCTGGCTCTAGTTTCAGGGTTGAAGTGTGTAAGGTTAGTGAATTTCTGTGTATATAGTGTGTATGTTCAAGTTTTGAAAAGATGAGGTTGGGGAGGATGAGAGAAGAGTGGGGGTTGGTGCATCATCAGGACCAAGAGGTACAGTGAATCAGGATAGTTGTGCAACCAACACTTTCAAAGGCTATGGAGTGCAGTAGAAAATAGTGAGCAACTGATGTTCCCATGCAGTCACAAATCCAAGTGCTCATGCACCCAACAAGACTCTGAAACACAACACCCTATATATACACAGAAATTCACCCACCTTACGTACACTGACCATGAAGATGGAGGCAGTATATACCTCTAAAACATCAGCAACATGCCCATATCCACATGGTGTAACAACCCAAGAACAAAATTTACATCAACTGCTAATTACTGTGAAAGCTTAAAATCAGTAACAGGCCATTTTCTAATTCAACGTTTCCAGTTGATGGGTTTTGGGTTTTATACACAGTTTACCTTTGAAAAGGAGGGCAAAAAAAAAGATTTCTTTTTTGCAATATTCATTATGTTAAGTTATGTTTCATATTTTGCGAAATATCAACCAACATTTTACAAGAAACTGTGGATATTTCAATTAAATATCCTATTTAATGCTAGATATGATTACAAAGTCTGACTGAAACACAAAACAATAGTAGTACTCATATATAACTGGACTGTCATTCTGGTTCTGCCAGTATAGTTAAAATTATTGACCAGTGCTGACCGAAATATATAAACACACAAGTTATACTGCATGATATATTGGTAATACTTTTCCTTCAATGGGGGCTGCTAATTTTTGTAAGAAACAGCAATACTCTTCATATTTGTTCTTGATGAAAAATAGTTTTAAAACACATAACAACAATACTTAAATTCAATATGCTTAAAATACTGCATACAAACAGCATAATAAATAGGAAATGTCATTAGAATAACACTACCTGAACAAAATACTGTAATTATTTCAGATACCATTCCAATAATTCTGCAGTTTACTATTACTGTGGTTCCAATTACAGATTCAACTTTCACTCCAAGTTATAAACTGTTTCATATTTAGATGCTTGAAAGATCTAGCAAACAATCTAACATACATCAGCAAATGCACAAATCATTCTGAGGAATTTCTTTGTAAGTTAGATACTGACTTGTGTCTGTAACCACATAATTTCTTTTTGTCCAGAACATTTGCAACACTTTCTCTACCCATAACAGTCCCATGTATTTATCTGGTTCCTCTGCTAGGTACTGAAACTTTATCATTATAAAAACTTAATACCATATAACAGAACTTATTCATACATCCATCATCACAAAGATGAGTAACAAAATTGAAAATTTCTATTATTTGTGACATAATGCTGTGTAGTCAGTTGAAAGCAAACCAATATTTTACAGGAACATGCAGTCTCCATCTTCAAGCTGGAGGAGTAAGCCTAGCATGAAACCAGTATGAAGCATGCACCAAGCAGGTTTACTCTTCATCTCTGAAGATGGAGGTGACATGTTACTCCAAAATGTAAGATGAATGTCAACACACTATACCATGTTACATCCAAGAAAACAGAACTCTTCATAGATACTAGTGCGAGAATCTCAAATACTATATGATAACAAAATTTATGTTTCATATTTGCACATTATGTAAAATCCATTAGAGATATCACAGTGTCTTTTTCCCATTCTTCTTCCCTTGTGTTACCAAAATATTTAAAACACTGTTCTTTTACGAATATATATAGTGTTTGCCTTATAAGTATAATAAATTTTATTTATAAGAAAGTTAAAATTAAAGTTGTCCCTATACCTAAATTAAAGGTTAGAGTCTTCAGCACTAAATGGAGGTTAATGGTATAGTGCATGCTTGAGATGCTCTGCTCTTCAGTAATGAAACTTTACAACCCCTGGATAGGAGGCTGTGTTAGTCTTGGGGACATTTTGGATGTGGTGGTGAAGACAGAAATCCTAGCCCATTGTCTCTCACATTACTGAAATATAAGAAACTCAAAATCCATTTTATTTCAACTCTTGAGGGAATTCTGAATTAATCTTCAACTGATCATATCAAAGAACATGAACATGTGAGATACTGCTATCATGTTCACTGTTGTCTCGTAATGTGGGAGCACTTGATTCCTTCACCTGACCATACAGGNAGGACCAAGAGGTACAGTGAATCAGGATAGTTGTGCAACCAACACTTTCAAAGGCTATGGAGTGCAGTAGAAAATAGTGAGCAACTGATGTTCCCATGCAGTCACAAATCCAAGTGCTCATGCACCCAACAAGACTCTGAAACACAACACCCTATATATACACAGAAATTCACCCACCTTACGTACACTGACCATGAAGATGGAGGCAGTATATACCTCTAAAACATCAGCAACATGCCCATATCCACATGGTGTAACAACCCAAGAACAAAATTTACATCAACTGCTAATTACTGTGAAAGCTTAAAATCAGTAACAGGCCATTTTCTAATTCAACGTTTCCAGTTGATGGGTTTTGGGTTTTATACACAGTTTACCTTTGAAAAGGAGGGCAAAAAAAAAGATTTCTTTTTTGCAATATTCATTATGTTAAGTTATGTTTCATATTTTGCGAAATATCAACCAACATTTTACAAGAAACTGTGGATATTTCAATTAAATATCCTATTTAATGCTAGATATGATTACAAAGTCTGACTGAAACACAAAACAATAGTAGTACTCATATATAACTGGACTGTCATTCTGGTTCTGCCAGTATAGTTAAAATTATTGACCAGTGCTGACCGAAATATATAAACACACAAGTTATACTGCATGATATATTGGTAATACTTTTCCTTCAATGGGGGCTGCTAATTTTTGTAAGAAACAGCAATACTCTTCATATTTGTTCTTGATGAAAAATAGTTTTAAAACACATAACAACAATACTTAAATTCAATATGCTTAAAATACTGCATACAAACAGCATAATAAATAGGAAATGTCATTAGAATAACACTACCTGAACAAAATACTGTAATTATTTCAGATACCATTCCAATAATTCTGCAGTTTACTATTACTGTGGTTCCAATTACAGATTCAACTTTCACTCCAAGTTATAAACTGTTTCATATTTAGATGCTTGAAAGATCTAGCAAACAATCTAACATACATCAGCAAATGCACAAATCATTCTGAGGAATTTCTTTGTAAGTTAGATACTGACTTGTGTCTGTAACCACATAATTTCTTTTTGTCCAGAACATTTGCAACACTTTCTCTACCCATAACAGTCCCATGTATTTATCTGGTTCCTCTGCTAGGTACTGAAACTTTATCATTATAAAAACTTAATACCATATAACAGAACTTATTCATACATCCATCATCACAAAGATGAGTAAGAAAATTGAAAATTTCTATTATTTGTGACATAATGCTGTGTAGTCAGTTGAAAGCAAACCAATATTTTACAGGAACATGCAGTCTCCATCTTCAAGCTGGAGGAGTAAGCCTAGCATGAAACCAGTATGAAGCATGCACCAAGCAGGTTTACTCTTCATCTCTGAAGATGGAGGTGACATGTTCCTCCAAAATGTAAGATGAATGTCAACACACTATACCATGTTACATCCAAGAAAACAGAACTCTTCATAGATACTAGTGCGAGAATCTCAAATACTATATGATAACAAAATTTATGTTTCATATTTGCACATTATGTAAAATCCATTAGAGATATCACAGTGTCTTTTTCCCATTCTTCTTCCCTTGTGTTACCAAAATATTTAAAACACTGTTCTTTTACGAATATATATAGTGTTTGCCTTATAAGTATAATAAATTTTATTTATAAGAAAGTTAAAATTAAAGTTGTCCCTATACCTAAATTAAAGGTTAGAGTCTTCAGCACTAATGGAGGTTAATGGTATAGTGCATGCTTGAGATGCTCTGCTCTTCAGTAATGAAACTTTACAACCCCTGGATAGGAGGCTGTGTTAGTCTTGGGGACATTTTGGATGTGGTGGTGAAGACAGAAATCCTAGCCCATTGTCTCTCACATTACTGAAATATAAGAAACTCAAAATCCATTTTATTTCAACTCTTGAGGGAATTCTGAATTAATCTTCAACTGATCATATCAAAGAACATCAACATGTGAGATACTGCTATCATGTTCACTGTTGTCTCGTAATGTGGGAGCACTTGATTCCTTCACCTGACCATACAGGGAAATCAGGGAGGTTTATGAGACTGTTAACTGAAGACAGTCATCATGAACTAACCTTATAAGGTTAGACCTCTAAACAGAATCTAAATAAGTTACATTTGTTGAAATATTAGTTAGGTTTAAATGATGCTTATATTAACTATATTAAATAATTCATATATGCCTCAAGGAATTCAGTCTACTTCATTTCCTATTAAGATTACTTTTCATGGTTTATCATTTTCAATGGGTATTATCATATATATCCAAAACTTAATGAAGCAGTTTCTTAAACAGTGACTTCTAAAACCTTTTAAAATATCTGCTTCTACTTATCATTATTCTTTTCTACTTAAATTACCAAGGTCATGGGAATGTAACAACATGGGAAAGTTGAACAAGTGAATAATTGATTGCTATGAAAGGTATTTCTGGCAATATATTGTGACATGTTGCCTAAAAGCCGGACTATGGAACATCCATCATGGCACAAATGGGAAGGAGAACGCATACTTCAGTGTTCGTTGCTGGTCAACGGAAAACATTTCCTACACAACGGAATGTAATGCAATACTGGAATTCTAACAGTAAGTTTCCATGGCTACAATGAATTGTTCAAAGCACTGTATGACAACGGGAAAACCAAACTGTTGAGAAAGATGTTCCATAAGCAGTCTGCAAAAGGCTTATTTAAGGAGGTACATTCAACCATGTACCAGTGGAAAGTGGAGTTCCAGCAGTCGCCAAGCAGATCAGCAGGCACTTCACCGAGATTAAAGGTGCAAGAAGAATTGTGATAGTGAAGAAGAAATGTCTCGAGGATGTTATCGGTGATAATAACTGTACTTGTGTCTGTAAAAGAGTGTGTCCAATAAATATTCGCTGAAATCCGGAAACCCACGTGAATTATTGTCAAATTACCTAGGAAACACATGACAACATTTTAGCAGCATCTGTGCATGGTAATTTGCTCTACATTAACACCACTTCTCTTTTTACATGGGATGTGAATTAGCCATTAAACTCATTTTATAATGCTTTCATAGGTAACAATTATCAATACCCAACAAGTTTTGGAAAAAAAAATTAGTCTTCAACTACATTAATTCTCATAATTTAACAGAGCTTCTAACTGCACATTATATTATGAAATGTACTTCTTTCACTTCCAAATGATCCTGAACATACACGTAAAAAACAGAAAACAAATTAAATGTTGTACTGCTTGTTATCACGTGTGGAATGTAAAAGTCATATAACAGGTGTATAAAAGTGAAAGAAGTTAAAATATACAATATTTACGCATGTATAGGCCGCGTGCGTCTATAGGCCGCAGCACAATTTTCAGACAGAAATTATAGAAAAAATAATTTTCTTGGAATATTATTTCAGGAGTAGAAATTATTCCGAAATTTGGTAACGTTAATTTTTTTTAAATGAAGTGTGATTTCGAATATTTCGAATATAAGCCGCACCCCAGTTTTCCTCTTGAATTTTTGGCAAAAAATGTGTGGCCTATACATGCGTAAATACAGTATTCCATATTTATATCACAAAATATCATACATAAGTAGTTTACACATGAAGTATTTAACAATATTAATACATTATAATACTCTTCAAAATAAATAATCTCAACATAAAACAACAAGTATCACAAAAAAAAAAAATTGTTCTTTAAAATTTGAACCATACTAGTCATAATACATGCACAACTTAATTATACATTTTGAGCCTAATTTTGATTTTAAATATTAACGCATTCTTCCTGTGTACTGACCAGTACAAAATCAGTGGCTTGGATTTGTGACATGAATGAGTTCAAAATATGATATACAGTGTGAAGAACACTGGTTTGGAAGCATTGCGTGGGGCGATATGGAACTTTACAACATTTCAAGAAATCATTTTTGTGTAATACACATTAAGGGAGTACTGGATGCTATTTACTTACTTAAATCTTCGAGATCTAAGGTGCTGACTTTTGGCAAAATGAGCAATATTCAGAGTCTACCAAATAATTGACGTCTGTATGGAATGTAGTTCATTTGCCAAAAATTCAGTCATCCCCACATACCTTCTTCCACAGTGAAAAGTACAGGGTATTTCGGATCTGACACAAATTAATGTGAAGTTCAGACATGCCAAGAATGAAGATACAGAGAGAAGAGGCAGGAAAAATAAGATAAAGCATACATAATGAAATATTCACTAATTGTAATTTTTAACAATATGAATTACACTAATATCACAAAATGAAACCTAATCTTACATAACATAACTGATAACAAGAACTGTTGTTTATGAAAATTATATATCCTGGTCTAAATTAACCCAATAAATGTGAAAACTGAGAAGAACAAAAATACTCATTACTGTCATATGACACATGATGCTCTGATGCTGTAACAGTTTGCAAAACTCATTAGTTGAACTGAATACTCTGTATGTGGAAGGTACAAAGATGAAGGAGGATAGGGCTGTGATACACAGCACTGGTAAGAGTACGGTCATTCCTACTACTCTACAGCGGAATTTTTTAATACTCTAATTAATCCTAAAATTAAATTCAAAAATATGTCAGAGATGCAATGTCTAAAGAAGTTTTTCATCTTTTCATTTTCTGTTGCTAGAGAAGTTCAGGGTTTCCATTCCCCTTTAAAGTTCATACCATTACCCCCCTAATATGATTCCAAATGATGTAGTGTTTTTCCATTGCCTGTTAATGATATACCTGAACCACTGACAAGGGCCACTTCATGAGCCTGACTCAGTACTTAACATGTACCTTTCGTCCATTTACATACAGAGAATAGAGCAATTAGTATATCTTACAAGTTATATTATCAAATTATATTTTAAAAATGATACTGATATTTCTAAATAACAATATCTGTGGTAGTAGGAACTGAAGTTTCGATATTATTGACACAAAATCATGTAATTTGATCCTATCCTCAGTCAACTAAATAAAATCCATATCTTCGTAACATATTTTGTAAAAATGCATTCCAGCATTATCCTTTCATATCCCTCTTTCAGGCGGGCACTCTCCAAAAGAATTTCCAACCGCCAAATATATTCAGTCCTTGTTTTCCTTGTGTAGGAAAGATATACTTGCATATCCAGCCTATCAAAACCTTATCGAGCTGACTATGTAATACTGCTAGAAGAACCCAAAAACATTAAGAAGATTTTCACTATATAATTTCTTCCATGCCGATCATGGTGGATGCGCAGTCTAAGGCATGAACAGTCTTCGCTCACTCAAATACTGGGATTGTGGGCTTGAATCCCACTCAAGGCATGGATGTCTGTGCATGCATTAATTTTTTTGTATTGTCCTATGTGTAGGTAGTGGCCTTGCAATGGGCTGATCATTCATCCAAGAAATCCTACGGTCTATGTAAAAAAGGTTACAAAACTGATGAAGAGGCCTGGGACCAACAAAGGGCTATAGAGATACTAAAGAATGAATGAATGAATGAATGAAATTTCTTCCATAGTCCACTCATTTTATCTGTCAGATCCAAATATTTTTGTTATGGCTTTGTTTTCAAGTATTTGCAATTTATGTTATTTCCTCAAATTAGAAAACAATGCTTCATAACCATATAAATTAATAGGAAATACAGCAGCAGTCCATACACCATAGGTCACATGTAAAAGTGATGTTGTGACCGCCCATTATTAAGTATATATACTAGCACCAGCCACCTCTAAAACTGATCTTCATCTTGAGCACTACCCAGTCCACAAAGGGGTGGAACTCTACTATAAGCATGAAAATTGGCACAGTCCTGATCTAGACAGTGGAGTTACGATGAACTTAAGGGTTTGATGTTACATTCTACTGATCACTTGTAATACATAAATTGTTACAAAGAACGCCCAGTCTTAGAACTAACCCCCAAGTTTCAGTTTACAGCTCAGGTCCAAGACCACTCAACCAAGCTGACCAACAGAACCCACTAATACTCAATCCAGTTTATGCAACAAAGGCAAACAACTTAATTATAACCTATTTGTAAAATCTCTTTAGAAAAATTAAGTTTTCATACTGATGCTGTTATACTGATTGTCCATAATTAATACAACAAAGGCAAACTTAATTATAACCTATTTGTAAAATCTCTTTAGAAAAATTAAGTTTTCATACTGATGCTGTTATACTGATTGTCCATAATTAATATATATAACATAATTGTAAGGTGTCAAAATATCTTTGAGGTCTCGTAATCATCAGATAATAAATTATTATGTTGCCATAAAGTTATTAGAATCTATGGTTACGACATGACTGGGGAATTCCCATACTTCAGGTCTTCTTGCATGCATGACTTTTCTCTACTTTAGGTATGACAGAGCCTCAAAGATATTTTAGTTAGCCAATAATACCTCTGTGGCAGAACTATGAGTTCAGGATCATCTGGTAAAACCAATTATCTCTCCATTAACAGCAGAGGTGTTCATATATTAGTACAGTAATTCCTTATGACAGTTATCCATATCTAAAATATAATAAGCTATCATACAGCTTATGTCACTCCCAAGTGAAACATTCTGTAAATAATAATGAATTAAAAATACTGTCACATAAATAAAAAGAAATCAGGCCAAATGCAACAAAATAAAAGGCACAATATTCGCAAGTTGTTGTAGCATGACATTCTGTTCTATTAAACTTAACCATGCTGATTCCATTTAAAACTTATAAATGTACAGGGCACTTTGATTGCAAGGTACTATTTCTTCTCATCCTGCGACATCAAAATGAACACACCCCGCATGAAGTTTCTTCACTGCTTTCCTGGCTTCTCCGTGTGAATACTTGCAGCAATTGACAATGAACCCTGCACAAGCACATGAATGTAACACCGAAGAGTCATCCACATTCGATAAATTAACATTAGGAAATATATACATCAAGATGCGCTTGGACAGTCAAAGTTAACTTCCCAGATCTGCCTTTCTGAGCTGGATCCTGATTTGCGTTAATCCAAGTCTGATAGTAAAACAGGCATATAAATAAAGAAGAAGGCAGTCTTCTGGGATCTGGCGGCACGTATTCTTTGTTTCAGCCGACGTTTCGGAGGAACGTATCGCCTCCATCTTCAGGGCAGTTGAATTGCATTGCGAATGCAGAGAGCAGTAGCTGTAATGATTAGGAAGTGAAAAGCGCTACTTTATGTAGGAAGTAGGAGGGGGGGGTTAGGGAGAGAGGACCAATGGGAACAGTGAAGAGCGATTAAGGCCATATATGGTCAGGGGGACTGGGGGGGGGAACTGCCAGTGAATCCAGGCATTACAGCTACTGCTCTCTGTATTCGCAACGCAATTCAACTGCCCTGAAGATGGAGGCGATACGTTCCTCCGAAACGTCGGCTCAAACACAGAATACACGGTGCCAGATCCCAGAAGACGACTTTCTTCATACTCATCGCCGTGAAAACCTCAAAACTTACACAGGCATATAAATAACTTATATGCTATAAGCACATGCCAACACACACATACATTAAAATATTCCTTAAAAATCTGGTTCTGCATAATTAAATGGTCCTAACAAAAGCCTTCTGAGGTTATCCTTCTCACACTTAAACATACATATTACATAAAAACAACTGATAGTGGAATCTGTTAGTAATGCAAACTCACCTTATTCTAATATTTGATTCCCACTGGACCTCCCCATCACAGTTCCAGACACTGACTCCCGGTATAAGCCTGCGTGAAGGGAACTCTGGATTAGAGACTGGAGCTGGAAGTGCTCGGAATGTGAACTCTCTGGCACGATGGACTTCCACAAAAGGCAAATCAAACTGAAATGAATGGAATGAAATTTGGATCAGTCAAATAAACCTGGACTGGCCAACACCATTGTTGTAAATGACAAGCTGTCTTATTGACACGATGTTTGCGTTGTCACATCACAGAACTAGGAATAACATGATCTACATATAAAAATTTCACATGTACACAGGACCATAATTACACAAATGTTTTAAAACACAAAGCAATAACAGACCAGTTCAAATGTCTTAATGTCTCTGGCAAATATATGTAAATAACTGTTTGCTCACATTCATAAACGTAAGACGGATTTCTTTTTATTTAAAATTTAATTTCATTTAGCTGAATTCAATTGGACCGCCTCTGTGGTCTAGTGGTCAGAGTTCCTGGCTACAGATCCAGAGGTCCAGGTTCCCGGTGCTACCAATTTTCTGAGAAGTATTGGATCTGGAATGGGGTCCACTCAGCCTCATGAGGAAAACTGAGGAGCTATTTCAACGAAATAGCGGCGCCAGTCTAGAAACCCAAAATTAACAGCCGTGGGGATTTGTTGAGCTGACCATGTGACACCTTCTATCTGCTAAAATTGGCACTATAGACAGAGTCACATAACTTCGAACAAGACCCCGCATTCCTAGTCAAGTACCATGCATAGCTTGTGGTGGGAGGAGTTTCTTAACACTCGTTCTTCCACTGGCTGCCTGTCACTTCTCACACTCTCCACCCCCTTGTCTGAAATTTTGAAGTTACGTGACACTTGCTATAACTTCGCCAACAAGCAGTGGTCGCTTGGTCAGTATAGTTCGCTTGCAGACTAAAAGCACGGAGTTTTTTTTAATTCAGTTGATTAATTTGATGTTGACTGTGCCCACAACTATACATCTTAAATTTCTTAATACATAACTCAATGAGGGATGTATTCAAGATATCTCAATTCATAACATTCAGCCACCTAAGACAATGTGCACAACATGACTGCTCCTGAAAATTAAATTGCATAAGCATTCCACTGGACATACTCATGGCAGCAGGTCTGAAGATCAGAACCTGCTGACTACATTTCTCTTCTTTATTTATCTAAGGCATACATTTTCCCTAATGCCTTACTTTGTTAGTGACTTGTTTATACTGACACTAACATGTGTGAAGTATAGTAATGATATATGTAGAATGCTTGCAAAGACATCAAACAAAAGAATTCTTTACCTGATATCACATCATGACTAAAATACAAGGTCATTAAAAACGTATTTTGGAAGAATGAATTTACATGATTCTACTTTTAAAATACACACAAAAAAGGAAACTATCATAAGTCAATTACATAGGTTCTGAGTAAGCATTTTTCATTGAGGATTAACAAGTTTATTATCAAGTTTCTGGTAACTGTCCCATTGTCGATGGTGGTCAAAGTCCAGAAACCCAGTAAGCCAAAAAAAAAAAAAAAAACTTAACAAAAGTTTACAAATGACCTTCTGAGGTGTTTCTTGTATGCCACATTTACCACTAGAAAACAATAACTCAGTGTTCAATGCCAATGGATTGCTTATTCTCAAGAACCATAAAAAACTACATACCACATTTTTTTCTTTACTGGACAGACGTAAAAGCAACTTCAGATTGTTCAGCAAGTGTGTGTGCTTTATAATTAGCACATCCACACAACCATCTCCTAAGTGGCAAAATGGGGATATACCATTTGGACTACGTGTACATGCACAAGACACATTAGCACCACTGACCATGAAGAATTTCCCACGAAATGTCTTCAATTCTGTAAATAAACATAATTTTCTTTCAGTTCATATAACATCTAGTACAAAGATATATCACATTTAAAAACTTGCATTATAAGTGTTTATGTAATGAAGTGAATGTATTTCTTTTCATCATGTGTTTTCCCATATAAATATTGTGACGTATTTGCGCTATGCAGGAAAACCCATCCCCCCGCCAGCAGTGACTTAACACCTTCGGTGCACTGCCATTGCTACGGTAATAGGCCAGTCAACACCCCGCCCACTTCCGCGGTGACATAACACGGGATGCCGCCGTTGCTACTCTGCAGTAAACAACTCCCGACAGCGTTGCTAGGCTATCGGCAAACACGGCGTCAGACAACAGTGGTGCCCATTATGTAACTGTTTTCTGTGCTGTCCGTAACTGGGCTAAATAAGGAGCAGCGAAGACTATTCAAGAGTTAGTTACGAGTTAGCCAGGGAGTCAGTCAACCAGTCAGTTGTAGGCCAAGTACTTGTAATACTGCAGATGGAAGTAGTTGTGAAATTGTGAATTTGTGATTGTAAGAGCGAGTGTGAAATAAAATTCGCTATATCCAATAAGGCGTGAAGTTATTTGTCGCGTTATACACCCAACACGTGACAATATAAATGTTCTTCTTTGAAAATACCTCATCACAGAATTTAATACTGGAAAGTCTTTCTAAATTATGAAGAAATATGGCAGGTCAGTCAATAATACTGAATGCTCTGAGTTCCATTCCCTGGTAGCCATGGAATTTTTCCTCCTCACTATCATATCTTGGGGGGGAGGGGGGATGACAATCCTTATTCTGTTTATTGCACCCAGCAGAATGAGAGCCCCACTGCTCCATCTCTCCAATTCTTCTGTCATCACAGTTGCTACATGGCCAGCCTATTCTTATCCACAGTTCTGTTAACACTAGGTGGCAATGTAAATGCCTGGAGTCATTTACCTTAGGCCACTCCAATGTAACAGCATTACTCTGAAGCCAAGCACTACACCATTCCATGCCCACAGTTTTCTGCTGCCAGCTCCAGAGAAATTCAAGGAAGATCAGTTCCACACATTCTTGAATATAAATGTTTCTACAAGCAGTGTGTTCCTAGCTTTCAGTGACAATATTCTTCTTGTCTGTTATAAGCAATGCTTTTACATCAGCCAGTAGTGTTTTTTCAGTTCTGAATTAGGGATGATGGGGTTGGAGAGGTTGTTGATGAATTGAAGAATGACTGACTTGATAAATAACATGGCTAGGCAAAATGATTCTGGAAAAAAGAGAACAAAAATTCTTTCTAAACAAGGAGGCTGAACAGAATACGAAGCCTGTCGGTCACCTCCATCTTCTGGCAAAATCCCTATACTACAAGCATGGTGCTTAGGTTAAGGGATACATTTCTTACCACTGAAAATGTTCATTATCGAATTTTGGGAACTCCAGTCTTTTCTGAGGTGATGCTTATGAATATAAAGTAGTCAAATAGAGCAAAGCTTTGCTGTTCTCTATCTTCTTCTAGCAATATTTCCATTTTTATATTGGGTCAATTGAAAAAAATATATAAAACTCCTTCCTTGATGCCTTTCAGTACTTTGCTAAATAATCTTGTTATGGGTAATCTTGTATGTTTCTTACTTTCAAATTCTAATTCTAACACTCTTCTCAGTATCTTTGTCCTGTCTTATTATTTTTATATGATCACCCCACTGTAATCATTTATTATCTAACTCCTTAAAATTCTGAATTATCATTTTTTCCCTTGAAATGTCATTTCTAATTCCAGCCCTTCTTATTTTTTTAATACTTCTAAAAAGTTTCATAATCAGGCAGTGGATTTTCCTTTTGTTTCTCTTTGTAAGGGTCCATATTTTGGGGTTACATCAATTTAAACTATCTTTTATAAACTGTTTTATATCTATTCCATAACATTCCTCTTATAATTTAATGAAGCTTACAACTAGCTAGTACTCTTTTATTGTTCTCTCCATCAATTTTCCCTTCTAAATTTCTTTGTATCCCGTAAAATTATGTTTTTGGTTAGAGTATATGAAAAGCTGGGTTAAGAGGCAAAAAGGGGACTATAAAATATGATGAAAGGAGTTATTCTTCATAATTTAGAAATATAAAACAAGAGCGTTATGCTCCGTTCATGTGCAGCAACCTGATCAATGTCCATGATTTATTCTGACCGTCTTACAGTGCATACATTTATTCACCTTACTCTTCTCTCTTGCACTACATGTTTCAGCATTAAATTGCCTTCATCAGGTGCCTTTTCTATGTACGTCGAACTACTTCATTGCATGCCCTGTTGTCCTTATACTAAAATAACTAAAATATATATTCGTCATATATAATGATAAATTTTAAATATTAAAACTGTTCTGGATTTGTCATCCTTATGTTGTATCTCAATACGCGAGTCACACCTATCTTCCTCTATCGGAGGACAACAGGGCATGCAATGAAGTAGTTCGACATACACATAGAAAAGCACCTTCGACACTTTAGTGTCGAAACATGTAGTGCAAGAGAGAAGAGTAAGGTGAATAAATGTATGCACTGTAAGATGGTCAGAATAAATCATGGACATAAATCAGTGCAACAGGACGCTAAAATATAACCTGACCAATATTTCATGTAAATCAATGATGCAACCTTGGCTTGTCTGAGACCTTATCTGCCATCCATTCAACACAATTAAAGGACATTATTAAAAAACATATGCAGCATTAATTAAACCATAATTTATTTAACTCATCTTACCCCCGTGACTCTGAGCTGTTTTGTTTTGTTCATTTTCTGCATGGGATTGACATCTTGCACAATTTTCCATACACTTCGGCCCACTTGAGGGACTACAACTGTCAGCAAGCAAAGTTACTTCACCTTCATAACCATTATTTGCCATGAATTTCTTGAAACCTATAAAACAAATGATAATCATATAAATATTAACTAATTAAAACCAGTGATTTAAGAATTTCCTTTCTGGCACTTACCGTATTTACGCATGTATAGGCCGCACATTTTTTTGCCAAAAATTCAAGAGGAAAACTGGGGTGCGGCTTATATTCGAAATCACACTTCGTTTAAAAAAAATTAACGTTGCCAAATTTCGGAACAATTTCTACTCCTGAAATAATATTCCAAGAAAATTATTTTTTCTATAATTTCTGTCTGAAAATTGTGCTGCAGCCTATACATGTGTAAATACGGTATCCTAAATAGGTTATGAGCTAAAACTTAAAGATATCTTTATGATCAAGTATTCCATGGGAAAGTTGTAAACGTTATTTTGGAAAGATTACTAGTACCACTAGAGGTTGCAGATACTCCTTTTGTGAATGGAATGAAATATAATTCCATTTTTAAACTGAAGAGGATGTGGGAGGAAAAGTTCATACGGTAATATCATAAAGTAGCCTAAATACAAAATTTAGCAAGCTGGTTAATATTTATGCTTCTAACAGCAGTGAAAATTATGACTGTGGTCTTCTGGTTAACAGCATTGTTTAGTTTGTTTACTGATATTTATTTATAGCTTATTTAAAGACACTGTCAGCAATAGACCATAAAGCACCCAGACATTAAGGTTCACCTAACATAAGTTTCATCCTTTACTGAATGTCCAAACAGAGGGAAGTCTCCATTTTCTTCTTGTCTTCACAGACTATTTAACTTAGTGTCAAACTTAAAATCTTTCTGTACGTTTAAATAGCAGAAATTCACACTAAATTTGAGTCCAGATATGTATGTTCAGTGCATACATAATTAATAAGCCCAAGACTGTATGTGACTAAACAGTGATCTTAATCTGTAGGAATATGTCACGCACTTTTTCTTTTTAAAATTCACTGTCAGAATTGACTTGTACATATAGCTTCTGACATACTCAAAAACCTAATTTTGGCTTTTTGTTGTTAAGAACTGTAATTATTAGATGTTAGTATATACAGGGTTGAAGATTCGAAAACCCTGAGCATCTCTGTCTTGCAGTAGTACTTCTTTAGATTTTTAATTAATTAATTTTCATCAAAATTCCCTGGTTTCTGTGTTTCCTCCACAGCATGTGGTGTTGTCTTTACTAGGCTCCTACTAGTAGAGACAACAAACACCACACGCTGTGGAGGAAACATGCAAACCAGGGGCATATGGCAGTCATAATTAAAAAGTAGGTTATGAACGTGAGGGGCAAACTGCCGAGACAAAACACCCTGAACAGACATACATTTATGAACAATAGACACCCTGTGTGAGGTGAAATAAAATGCACCAAAATAACGTGGGTATAATAGAAACTTTAAAGGATTTATCTGGTTTTACCTTGAAACGTGTGATTTTAACGCGGACTAAGACAGTGTAGCAGTTTTAACATAATTTAATAAAATATTTGTAACATATCAAGACACCTGAAGATGGCCATTTTGGGCCGAAACATGTAGTTTCAAAGTGTATAATGTTAAACTAAAATTAATATTAAGTAGTGAATAAACACATGTTGCAATATTAACAGATGATAAATACATGGACGTTAGATAAAATGTGTATGAAAAATAAGTTACTGCACAAAATGTTATGACGGCTTTTGCAGAATCCAAGTGTAATTACCAGAGTACTCATATCGTTTGGGCCCCATCCAGCGAAACTTCTCACTGTCCCTGACAACATCACCCAGGTAGCCATAGGATATAACACTGGAGAAATACTGCAATAACGTTGCATTACTATGGACGCTGCATAGATCCAGACCAGTACTGTCACCTGCAAAAGCAAACAATTTCCTTTAAATCATATTTCATGCTGTCACTCTCTCATGGAGCTGAGCCCTTCTTGAGAAGCTTCTAATTGTGCAGCTACTCAAGAATTTCGCAGCATCTTATGGAACCCGAAGGTTCATTTCTGTGTTCACAAGAGCCCTTCACTGGTCCCTATCCTGAGCAAGATCAATCCAATCCATACCATCCCATCCTATCTCTCTAGGATCAATTATAATATCATTCACTCACTTATGTCTTGGTCTTCCTAGTGGTCTCTTTCCATCTGGCTTTCCCACCAATATTCTAGACACAATCCTCTTCCTCCATTCGTGCTACATGCATCTCATCCTCCTTGACATGATCATTCTAATTATACTTGGAGAAGCATACAAGTTACAAAGCCCCTCATTATGCAGTTTTCTCCAACCTCCCATCACTTCATCTCTCTTCAGTCCAAATATTCTCCTCAACACCTTGTTTTCAAACATCCTCAATCTATGTTCCTCCCTCAATGTAAGAGACAAAATTTCGCATCCATACAGAACCACTGGCAAAATCATAGTTTTGTGTATTCTAATTTTTACGTTTTTAGACAGCAGATGAAAAGACAAAAGGTTCCGGAATCAATGGTAGCAAGCATTACCTGAATTCAGTCTCCTCTTAATTTCCTCCTGAATCAGGTTTTGATTTGTTATAGTCATTCCCAAATATCTGAACTGAGCCACATTTTCGAAACATCTGTTACCTATGGTTATGTCATGATTTTGCCCTGTAGTCTGATGATAAGACAGCAACATATACTTAAGTTTTCTCTGTGTTTACTTCTAAACTAACCTCCTTACTAGCGTCAATTAAAGTTCGTGTTCTTCTTTACGATATCTATATTAACACCCAGTAGATTCACATCATCAGCATTGACCAACAGCTGATGTGTCCCATTTAATTTCAGTCCCACTTGGTCTCCCTGGACCTTCCTAATGGCATGTTCTAAAGCAAAGTTGAAAAGGAGTGGCGTTAAAGCATCTCCTTGTTTTAGATCATTCTGGATAGGAAAAGTATCAGACAAATATTTACCTATACAGACTTTACAATACGATTCATATAAACACATTTTAATCAGCCTCACTAGTTTCACGGGTATCCCAAACTCTAAGAAAACGCTGTACAATACTTCTCTCCTAACTTAATCATACGCTTTCTTGAAGTCTATGAATAGCTGATGTACTGTCTCATCGCACTCCCATTTTTTCTCCAATATCTGATGAATGCAAAAGATCTGATTTGTAGTTGATCTGTTATGTCAAAACCCACACTGATGATCTCCAATAATACCATGAATGTATGGACTTAACCTTGAGAAAAGTATACTGGATAAAATTTTGTATGAAGTTGATAGCAGTGATATCCCCTGATAATTACTACGGTCAGTTTTATCACCCTTCTTGTGAACTGGTACAATAATAGACTCCTTCCACTGATCAGGCAATTTTTCCTTATTCCAAATGTAATTAATTAGCTTATGGATCTTAGAACCTAATATTTCTCCTCCTTCTTGTATCAGTTCTACCAGAATTTGATCACTATCTTTTCAACTTTGCAATAGGAATTTCAACCTCAAAGGGCTAGGATCAGGTACCAACAGCTCAGCTGCATGTTATTACCATCTGCCTAACCACTGATCCTATGTACGTAGAGAAGTAAAAAATTACCCGCACTCTAGTTTTTCCAATTTATATACACAAAAGTAGGGGTTGAACAAGTACGTCATTCTTCTACTTAGTCTCCTTCCTTTTCGATGCACTTGGTCCAGCGGTCCAAAAGCTTGCGTATTCCTTCCAAGGTTTTCGGTTGGTCGCGCAACCATTTATGCACCGCTCCCCCCACTTCTTTGTCCCTAGAAAATCGACGACCTCCTAAAGCATCTTTAAGCGGTCCAAAGAGGTGACAGTCAGAAGGGGCGAGATCTGGGCTGTAGGCAGGGTGTTCCAGCACCTCGAAACCCAAATGGTTAACGGTTTCAACGGTCTGCCCGGCCATCTGTAGGCATGCATTATCATGCAACAACACTTTTTTCGACAACAGGCCTCGGCGTTTGGTGAGAATTGCTGGCTTCAGGTTGTTACCCCCTTCTTCCAGGTAGTCTTCCAGTCTGAGTCCCAAAAAAGTGTTAGCATCGCCTTTCCCGCGCAAGATTGAGTCTTTAATTTCTTGTCCGGCCACTTTTAAACTTCTATGGGGTAGAGCACTGTCCCCGTATTGTGCTGAAAGCCTCCGATGAATTTCAGCCCCTGACACACCTTCCAACCTGAGAAATCGGATCACTGTTCTTTGCTCCACCTTGGTGCACAATGCTAGTGGAGCGGCCATGTTTACGCTGTCACAGCATCAAGGAAAATAACATGATCAAGTTCAAACTTCGATCACGTGACCACAGTAGTACCAACTCTAAGCATGCATGCGCAGAAGGCAGTGTGACAAACCTAAATATGTGTTGTGGCGAAAGTGGGGATAATTTCCGACTTTCCTTCGTACATTCAATAACTGAGGGAAATAGTTCTTCCACCTACTCAAAATGTTGTGGGAATCTGCAAGTTACTGCTAGGCTTGTAACCCCTCTTGAAGTCATTTATTCCTCTATACAGGTCTCTTAAGTTCTTGTACTTACTGTTCATTGCAAGCTCATCAATTTTGTCTTTCAGATATTCCTTTTTGTTCCTGAAATGCCTGCTGGTTTCACGTCTAATATTGTTCAGATTATCACCATTTATTGTGCTTGGATCTGTAACCAGTGCAGTTTGGCTTGTTTCCTTTGGTCCAATAATTCTGAGCATCCTTCATCGAACCATGGCTTCTGCTTCTTCAGTTCATAATAACGTGAATCTACAAATCCACCCGCCCATACGCCTTCATGGCGCAGTGCTTAATTAGTTAAGCAATGGGACAACTTTTACAAGTGGAAATTAAAGCATTTGTGAAAATTTATGTATAATACGAGGGTTGGAACTTTAATAGTGGTAACTATTTATTTACAACTGATACAAAATAGATGCACGTTTCGAAGTTTTACTGTCCTTCAATAATAGTCACCAGCATTGTGTACAACATGTTGCCAGCGATGTGGAAGTCGTAGGATACCTTTAGCAGCGCCTGTTATGTTGATAGTTCGAATGGAGAGGTCTACTGCCTGAAGAATCTCTGGAACAGTTCTTAAGCGAATGCCACGAACTGGTTCCTTCATCTTAGGAATCAAGTCCAAGTCACAAGGGTTTAAGTCCGGGGAGTACGGTGGATGGTACAGCACTTCCTAGCTCCATCGATCGAACAAATCAGCCACAGCTTGCGCTGCATGCAGCCGAGCATTGTCCTGCAAAATGATGGGTGGGTTCTGCAGAAAGTGTCTCCGCTTCTTTCTCAAAGCTGGTNCGGCCTCTGGCACATTCAACCAACCCTCATACATGGCTTGTTGGCTGGCAATTCTTACGAAACCGCGTCAGTTCCAAAGCTTACAAAACATCGCATGTGGAATGTTGCAATGGTCTCGAAGGACGAGTATGGAGGAAAGTGAAAGGTTTTTCTATCCTGATGTTTGCCGTGACTGGTGAGGGGAAGGGGGGGGCACGAAAGGCCGTCGAGACGGTCGAGACTCTTCATGCAGAGATGAATTCCCATTCTTAGGGCGCATTTCCACGGGGCGTGACACGCTAGCGTGAGGCAGGTATTCGTGAGTACGACCCATGTGAACGAAGCGTCGTGGAAAATCTTATGACGTCACAGGCAAGAGTGAGGGCTCACGCTTCATATCAAACATGTTTGATATTCAGTCGTGAGTTTGCCTCTACCATGTCTACACCGGATCGGGTCATAAAATTACGAGAAAGGGAAACTGTGCGGTTTTTGGAATTATATGCAGATGAACCAGTGCTGTATGATGCAAGCATGGAAAGTTACAGAGACAGAGACGTTACATTGGCAGCGGCGAAGAGAATTTCCAATGCGCTCTCAATTCCTGGCTTTGGACCAAAGGAGGTGATGGCAAAATTTAAAAACTTGAGGAGTAGTTATTGTCATATATTGTCTCATATTAGTATCTGATTTTGCGACCAGTGGTGAAACGCGTTCCAGAAGGAAATCAAATTGGTCTTCAGACACTCGTAGTAAGTTCTTGAAATCATCTGGGTAACTATTTCTGAGTTCCATGTCAACCAAATTATGTGGCCCTAATTTCCTCTTTAGAATCCACTTCTGAACCCACCATCGCCTTTTCTTCCGTTTTCCTTTCATTTCCACCATCTGCTTCATTCTCTGCGCTAAAATAGCAGCAAAAACTGAACTCACAACAGCACAACTTTCTATGAGGAGCTCGTTCATGGTCGGCTTTCCGCGATCAACTGAATCACGTCTTCGTGGACACTTCAGCCAGTGTGAACTACTCACGACCCACGACTGGTGGGTTCACGCCTGCAAATTCACGAAAGCAAGCACGAAAGCGTTGCACGCTTTCGTATCCACACCCCGTGGAAACGTAGCATAACGCTCAGAAATAATTTCGAGTCCACAGTCAAGAAGATAGGGATGAAAACTGTTGTTGCTCTTACAAAACAACGATTCAGCGCTGTAGTCAGAAAGCCTCCAGTACTTAAATGTATGGAAACAGAAACGGACATTCAGCGTGGATAAGAGTAGGAGTGTTGTTTTAACGGTTTCACTTAGTCATCGCAAGGGGAAAAATTCTGATGTTCGACTTTCCTCAGCAGTTCACGTATAATGTCACGTATTTAAGCGACACGGGGTTTAGACTGGCATTTGGATCTACTGAACCCTTACAAACCGTAACTACGCTTAATTATAGCACTACGGAGAATTCAGACACACAGCAAGCATTAAGTCTTCTCAGTCTGTGTCTCCACCAGTCGTCGCTTGGTAACGGCTCTCAACGCCGAAGATTCCTAAGCTTCCGTGTTCACGTACTTACCGGATACCAAATGTCTCATACCTTCTCATGGC